GCTGTTTAGTGAGGAAGGTGAATTGATTTGTTGATGGTAATTAATGCTTTATTGGTTAGATTTGGTGTTTAGAGTTAGATATATGTCTACTCATTGACCTTGAATGCTCTTTAGGTAGAGATAGATATTAAGTAAACACTTGAATGCTGTTTTGCTTTTGTTATTCAATGCATATTCTTGAGAAGCATAGAATTAAATCCAGCCGATCCTTTATTCCTTTTTTCTTTCTTACTTCTTTGCTTCTTTCCATCCTTAAAACCTTCTTTATTCCATATTTGCTTCTCTTCCATCTACAAGATCTTTCCTTCTTTTATTTCTGTACACCTTTCTCCTTTTCCTAATCTCTCATTCTCATTCATCTCCTTATTTGTTTCCACTCCTCTCATTCTCTTTCCTTTGTCATCTTTTCCATGGAATACTCTTCGCAGATTCCCTTTTCCCCCAACACCAACTTCGTTGATCTTCTCAACAGCCAGCAGGATGGAGTGTTCTGCGGTTATGCGTCCAGTCTTGGTGAAGAGATGCCTGCGGTGGTGGAAGCCTCGGCTGAAGAACAGAAGGCCAAACGGAAGACTTGGAGCCCAGCAGATGATGTTCTGCTGATAAGCTCGTGGTTAAACACAAGTAAAGACTCCATCGTGGGCAATGAGCAGCGAGCAGGGTCTTTCTGGAAAAGAATTTCTGTGTTTTATGCGGCCAGTTCCAAGTCTTCTGATCATCCAGATGCAATTCAGTGCAAGCAGCGATGGCAGAAGATAAATGATTTGGTTTGCAAGTTCGTGGGAGCTTATGAATCCGCAACAAGGGAGAAGACATCTGGTCAGAATGAGAATGACATTCTCAAAGCAGCTCATGAAATTTTTTTTAACCTTCACAAGAAAAGGTTCACGCTGGAACATGCGTGGAAGGAGCTGAGGTGGGATCAGAAGTGGATAACCCATTCATCAAGCAAAGCGGAGGGAACCAACAAAAGGAAGAAAAGGGTTGATGGGTCTCAATCACCAACCGGTATGGCGGATGAACAGACGGCTTCCGACGCAGAAAATAAGAGCAAACGACCCATTGGTGTTAAAGCGGCTAAAGCAAAGGCAAAGAAAACAATTATGGACATGAAGGCTGTACTAGAAGACTTTTGGACAATGGCGGATGTCAAGGCTAAAGACTTAGCTGAGAAGAAAGCCATTTCCAAAATGGCGGTGCTTGAGAGACTCCTTGCTAAGCCGGAACCGCTTTCTGACACAGAGGAAGCATTCAAGCTGAAGCTGATCGCTGATCTGATGGAGTAGGATGGTGGTTCAGCTTGTTTTTTTTTGTTTCTTCAGTCATAAGTTACTGAAGTTTCGGTTAGGGATTATGACTTAGTAATGAAGTTTATTATGATGTATTTTCATTTCATGCTTCAGTTGTATTTTTATTTCATGTTTGGATCTTTTGTTTAGGACTTTGCTATCATGTTTGGAACTTAAGCGGTTGTACTTAAGTTATTGTATGTTTAATGAAAGCACTATGGTTTTCTTTTCCTTAAAGTATTTGCTCATTTACTGTCTTTGATGTTTGGGTTTAGTGTTTCAGGAAGTTAAAAGAAGCAGGCACAACCCTACAAAGACATTCACAAGGCATCTAGTGAGCACAACACTACAAAGAGAGTCACGAGCATTCTAGTGGGCACAACACTACAAAGACAGTCACGAGCATTATTGTCATTTCTTTGTTTCAATAATGGATTTCATTTTGTTTTCTTCTTATGTAAGTTTTAGACCACAAATTCCATGTAATGTAACGACCACAAATCTTGTATGTAGACTCTATTTATAAAGTGCAAACGGAAATTGTATCAAACCAACATCTTCACTTTTGTTTTCTCATACAATCGATTCCTAGAATTCAAGTTTTCATAAATTTTTCACTTTAGTTTTCTCATACACTAAGCTTATTTCATTCTCCTTCTCCTTGTTTTTTCATTCTCTCACATTACTTTACCAATTCTACTTACAAAACCAAACACCTTTTATGGCTTCCTCTTCCAATAATCCTCTTCATGGATCACTTGATGATGATTTAGATCAAAAGTTTGATCAAATGTTTGATGATGTATATGATCAAACATATGAAAATCTCTGCGCTATGTATGAAGAACAAATGGAGGAACCGAGAACAAGAAAGAAATGGGCTTATATTGAAAGACAACGTGAAGAAGGCCATAATCGTTTATGGAACGATTATTTTAGTGAGCCGTCAACATATCCTACAAATTTATTCCGACGGCGTTTTAGGATGAACAAACCATTGTTCTTGAAGATTGTTGAAAAACTTTCCAACGAGCATCGTTACTTTCGTCAGAAGAAAGATGCTCTAGGAAGACCTGGTCTCTCTGCACTTCAAAAATGTACCGCAGCCATCCGTATCTTGGCATATGGCAGTGCTGCTGATGCGGTCGATGAATATCTCCGGCTAGGTGAACTACTACTCGTAAATGTTTGGAACATTTTGTCGACGGAATAATAAATTTGTTCGGTGATGAGTACTTAAGAAGACCTACACCGGAGGATCTTCAACGCTTACTTTATTGGGGAGAGGAACGCGGATTTTCTGGAATGATCGGGAGCATCGACTGTATGCATTGGGAGTGGAAGAATTGCCCTACTGCTTGGAAAGGACAGTATTCACGTGGTTCCGGAAAACTCACAATCGTTTTAGAGGCAGTAGCGTCATATGATCTTTGGATATGGCATGCGTTTTTTGGGCCTCCAGGTACTCTAAACGATATAAATGTTCTTGAACGCTCACCCGTGTTTGATGATATAATACAAGGTCGAGCTCCAGCAGTTAATTTTTCTGTCCAAGGAAGGGAGTATAATTTGGCATACTATCTCACTGATGGAATTTATCCAAAATGGGCAACTTTCATCCAATCTATTACTCTTCCACAAGGCCGAAAAGCAAAAAAATTTGCTGAAGTTCAAGAATCTGTCCGAAAAGATGTGGAGCGTGCTTTTGGAGTATTGCAAGCTCGGTTTGCTATTGTTAAAAATCCAGCTCTTTTTTGGGATAAAGAAAAAATAGGTAAAATTATGAGAGCTTGTGTCATACTCTACAACATGATAGTAAAAGATGAAAGAGATGGATACAATCTACTAGATGTGTCAGATTTCCAAAGAGAAGAAGGAGACGGAAGTGCAAATGTGGATAACACATATTCAACGGCTATGCCTACAAACATTGCCAATATGATGGATACTCGAAAAAAAATCTGGGATCCAGGAGTCCATGAACGATTGAAGAAGGATTTGATTGAGAATATATGGCAAAAATTTGGATGAGATCAAGACATTTGAGTTCACGTTGTTAAATTTCATTTACGAATTAATTTTATGTTTGATTGTGTTTATTTTAAGAATGTTAATTTCTATTTTATGTTAAGAGTGTGTTTATGTTATAATCAAATTATTATCTTTGTTTTAAATAAAAAATTCCTTAAGAAACCCAATCTAGATTTTACCACTAAACCATTATAATTAAGAAGGTTCTTAATCAAAACTCTTTTTCCAAAATTAATATAAAATAAACATAAGAACCCTTAATGGGGTATTAGCGATAATAATGGTCTAATGAACAATTATTGGACACACATTTATTGTGATGTTTGTTTATCTCTGATAATGAATTATTTAGCGAACGCAGACTAAAAAATTAATCAAGATGTAATTGTTTAAATACATTCTAGTTGGCAATATATTTAGAAGATAAAGAAGATGATATTATTCTTCTTGAAGATTTCGAAATCTTTTCTTAACCCTAAACAAATATTTAGAATTCGGCCAAAAAAATTGGAATATTATCTTATCAAGCGCTGAATTAAAAATTAACAAGATGATTAACTGAATTGGTAACATACTATATAAAAAAATTCTTGGTTTCGTTTTCGTTTGTATTTAATTTATATTTATTTATGATATAAATGGTTAGAGTTTGCTTGATATTAATGTATCAAAATTTTCTGCTTTGGAAGTTGGGCTTAGTTTGATTTATCTATTACTGGAAACACTGATATTTTATGTGTCATTTGGATCTAATGACATAAATGTAATTGTTTTTAAAATAACATTTAAGAAAAAAAATAAAACATTATGAATTAGTTGCCTTTTTCCATGAATGTTTAAATTTTTTTCTTCCTCCAATTATTAATAGTATACAAGAATTTATTTTGTAATTGCAAGAAAAAGGTTCAATATATATCATACAATATTAAAAAAATAATGCATAGCTCAAATACGAGATTGAGTTCACATCTTTTAGCGGAAGATAACTTACCTTCAACCCTGGTTTTTCCTTTCATTTTTTCTTATTGAATGTGAAATTTATTTAAAACCAAAAGACTGCTTTTTTCTTTCATGTTGATCTTTTATGTTGCAATCCCTTGTTTTATGTAATGTCTATCTTGTACAATCAAATGTGTAAAGCATAATAAATTTTCTTGTTACTATAATAAGTCAACAAACTATAAAATATATAATATAAATAGCCTTTTCAAATCTTATTAAATTCGCAGGATTTTTCACTATATATCTCGTATTTTCGATTTAGTAATAGAAACACATTTGGCATCATACTTAGTAATAGATACACATTTGATATTATACACATTTGGCATCATATTTGTTTTTTTAAGTAATATATCTTGTATTTGATTGCTTTCACACGTACACATAACTTCAATTATATATCTTGTTCAGCCATTAGCAAACCCCAATCTTTCTCTTTCTCTCCCTCTCTCCCTCTCTCCCTTCGAAGGTAAGTAAGCTTCCGATTCATTTTTTTCTTAGACCGCACCAAATTCTTCAATTCTTTTAATTCTTCAGTTCCTTTAAAGTTTTTGGACAAAACTTTTAGAATTCAAGAAATTCTATCGTTTATATAATTTTATTTTCTTGTACAAGTATTTATGCTCATGCATGCTTACCAATTTTTCAGATTCTTGATTAATTAAGCAGCTAGCAAATATGGCCAAAACAATGACCGCATTCTCCACCAAATGGTCCTCCGAATTGGTATAATATCACACAAACATACATATTTATATGTGTCTCTGAGTCTCTCTTTCACCTTATGATTTGTATATAATCCATATTCATGTTCTTTATAGTCTTTATTCCCTCTCTTTTTTTTTATTGGCAAATTTCATGAATCTTAGTTATCTTCCTTTTTTAGGATATAGAAGAGTACAGCATCATCCACCAATACCACATGAACTCACTCGTAGGAGATGTTCCACAGTCTCTCTCATCTCTTGATGATATTACCAGTTGTTATAACTTTGATTCTTCTTGTAATGACGATTTGATCGAAAAGAAACCTGCAAAGATCGTCAAGACCACTCACATCTCACCAAAGTTACATCATTTTCCTTCTTCCAATCCTCTTCCTCCAAAGCTTCAGCCATCTTCTAGAATTCTTTCTTTCGAAAAGATGGGTTTCAAAAATATGAATCAAAATTCCCCAAACTTAATATTTAGCGCCAAAGAAGAAGCTGGATCACCAGAGCTGATCACAAGAGAGACAAAGAGGGCTCAACCCTTGACTCGAAGCCCATCAAATTCTCAAGATCACATACTCGCAGAGAGGAAACGGAGAGAAAAACTTTCTCAAAGATTTGTAGCACTTTCCGCCCTAATTCCTGGCCTAAAGAAGGTACATGTAGTTTCAAAAATATCATTTTTGTTTAATAACAAGGGTTGGTATTAATCAAATCGTAGTAGTCCATTTTTAAATCGTTTAGAGAGGCAACAAATCTTGCTATCTTTCCTTAATAAAAATTTGTTTTTTGACTTTGGATCTGTTGTTTATGAAACTTAATTCTTTGATCAGGATCGAACATATGAAAGTCGAATATACTGAAAAAATCATAAGAATAATGGTTTTATATAATCATTCGTAGTTTCAACTTGATGGATATTCATTTAATTGAATCTATGTATGTTTACATGCTACTGGCATGCATGATGTATGCATATATATGTTTATAGATGGACAAGGCTTCTGTGTTGGGAGATGCTATAAAGCATATAAAGAACCTCCAAGAGAGTGTGAAAGAGTTTGAGGAACAAAAGAAGGAAAGAACAATGGAATCAATGGTTCTTGTAAAGAAGTCTCAGTTTGTTTTGAATGATTATGATCAACCCCCATCTTCTTCCTCGGATGGAAATCACGAGTTCTCGAGCTTAAATCTTCCAGAGATGGAAGTTAGGGTTTCAGGAAAAGAGGTTCTTATTAAGATGCTATGCGATAAGCAAAAAGGTCATGTTATCAAGATTATGGATGAAATTGAGAAGCTTGATTTGTCTATCACCAATAGCATCGTCTTGCCCTTTGGACCCACTTTTGACATCACTATTATCGCTCAGGTGATTATATATCACACAACCTACCTATAATCATTTATAATTACATATGTGTTCGAAATAGTGTATTGTGTGGAAATATATAATTTTGTTGATGGAAGCATATCTCAGAGTTAGTAAGAATTTGGATTTAAAAATTAGATTACTCGAAAATCTTATTTTTATTGTGTATTCTTTTGCAGAAGAATAACGATTTTGATATGAAAATCGAAGATGTTACGAAGAGCTTGAGTTGTGGCTTATCAAAGTTCATGTGATTGGTTTCACGTTACATATATACATATATGCGCACAAGCATCCTCGATTTCTCCGACTTACATATCCAAAGATGATTTTTTTCCATGAAAATGGTTTTTAGTCGATAAGTTTGTTGCATGGATGTTCATAAAAACATTTAAGGAACCTTGTTTGTTTTCTTGACGTGTGCTTAAGATACATGTCAATATATCATCGATGTTTAGTAGATGGGATTTTTCGCAGCTACTTGATTATTTTTTGCAATGCAAAGCATTACGTTAGGTTGAAAATGTCATGTTTAATAAATAAATTTGATCAGTTTTACTGTCAATTGAGCACATTTTAGTATTTAAGAAATGTATATGTTATTTTCTGTTCAGATGGATCAGTAGTTTACGATGAAACCCATTTTTTAAACTCATCCCTATATACAATGATCAGGATAAGAAGATAAATTTCTACAAGTACCTCTTCATTTTCTAATCATGATAAAGTTGTCTATTAACTAATAACTAGTCAAAAAGCAATTATTCACAACGACTTGCAAAATCAAAGAAAAAAAAAATCCATCCGCCTAAATCAAAAAGCTATAAAGTAGACAAGGTACACCAAGCTGCTTTGAAGGAGTATTTGAGGATCATTTGTCTTTTTTCCTTATATAATTGTACATTACTTCTTCTGTTATTTTTTATATAAACAGAAAAAACATTCTAGTATGTTTCATAAAGACTCATTTTTAACTTGTTTATGCATCTCTTATTAATTAATGATGATGAACTGTAAACTTCAAGAAATATCAATTGAAATTATTGAATTGATTAAGAGTTACAAGAAATTGTTTACTAACAAAAAAATGATGCATCAATTAGTAGTATTAGTTTTGTTTTTAATATGTGTGAAAAAATTATAAAAAATCTATTAATTTAAAACAGAGGGAGTCTATCACATTTTTATTAAAAAAATGTTATACCACCATATATACATTGAAAAAAAACAATATTTGAGAAACATTACACATCATCTAAAAGTGAGAGTTGAAAAAGGAGGGCCTAAACAAAAAATAAACTAAAGGAAGAGATGATCAATTTACTTAATTGCGGATACTAATAGATGAAAAAATAACACTGTAAAAAAGGGAAAAAAAATTCATAGTACTTTCTCATTGGCACTACAAACATAAAAGACATATCTACGATTCTACGTACATAGTTTTTTTTAGTTTCATTAGTTTACTAATTTTCAAAAATGTTAAAAAAAAAAACTGGTATTTTTGGTTGAATTGACGACTTTGCCTCTCTTCTAACTTTTTCGTATAGTTTACACAAAACCACATGTGTTATTGTTAGGGAAAAAATTTCCATGAACAATATAATAAATGCGAAAATTCTTTAACAATTTTAAGGAAGTAAAAAAATTAATGAAAAATTGAAAGTGACTAACGTGGAGCAAAATTGCAAATTATTTGGAATCTTTAAAACATCAAGTCATCAAGACTCTATCGCCCTGTTTTATCGATATCTCTTTTTATCTATATCCTTCGTGCGGATAACGTAACTGCGGATGCTATAGCAAAGAACTCTTTTAGATTTCTTTCTTCAACGTTCAAAAAAAAAATAGAGATTTCTTTCTTCCAAGCATGTAAGACTACTTCTTCTTCAATGGAATTTGCTATTAAAAGAAATATAATTTAAAGTGACATATTTTGCAAAGTTCTCAGCATAAAATGATAAATTAAGCATATGACACTTATAACATCTCTTAATAACTTAGATTATCCCCTATATTCATAACTAAGTGACATTTAGATTGGATAATATAACATGGTTAGTTGATTACGAGTATAGGGAAATGTACGTCCAGCCAAAACCATTTAATCATGAAAGAGAAAAAGAAAAAAATCAAAGTGTTAATTCACACTGTAACAGGAAAAGGGTGAAAATCAAAAGTAATTGCCAAGAGGTAAATTCGTTAAAAACAAGCCAACAAAGACAATTTATTGGTTATTAAATCGAATTCAAAACGTGGGATTTTCCTTTTTATTGAAAACCGTTTTCAGGAGGTCAAATAAATGTGAAAACCAAAGTGTTCTTTGGCGTCGTTTTGTTTTTTTTTCGTCGGGTCCAAATGTCTAACCAAAATGCTTAAACTATGCGCAGATCCGCAGATGTATGTATTTAATGTGTATATATATGTATAGTGAGAGAGAAAAGGGTCATATCATTTCAAAATCAATCCTTTTTTTCCAAAAACCCAACACCAATTTTAATTGCATAATGATATGTTTCTGGACAAAATTATTTTCCTGAATTCTGGGAATAGGAAGGATGCTTAGTTCTATTTAAATATTCCGTGAATTTATAAACTATTTTTTGACGTCGAATTTTTAAATTATTTTAATATTTCTTTTTATAAAACTAGTATGAGTATTAGATAAGAATTAAAGATTTGTTAGAAAAAGCTTCAATAATTTTGGGTTTGGGTTTTTGATGGAAAATATTTATCAATTATCTTATTCAAAGAATCATCACGTTCGAGTTTAGGAAATTCAACATATAAGCCACTAAAAAGCTGTTACTTATATATTATTTAGAATTATTGATTAGTTTCTAAAATTAAACTAAGATTTGAAATATGCTTGATCAATGGTTACCAATACACTAACATTTTTCATACCTAAATTTTAGAACTCAAAAACTATTATAGGTCATATAACATAACATAAATTTATAAATTTTTTCTTTACTCAATATCAAAAAATATATTTTTTTTACATGGCTTACTATTCAAGATTGTTGACAACGGGATATAAAATGAGGCAATGGAGCAGAAGGCAAGGAGCGCGTGGCTGATATGCCATAACTCGCAAAAAAAAAAATCTCACCTACATTAACATAATCTAATGCCATAAGTAGGAGTGTAATGACGTTTTTAACCTTAATGAACTAAATATAAAAATTTAAAGAATGAAATTGGGTTTCTTGTTTTTTTTATAAAAAATCTGTGGCTTTCTTCTTCCCCGAGCTCGTTTCCGTACACCTCCGGCGCAGAGAGCTTGATTCGAACCATCGTCGTTTGCTGGCGCCGGCTCATTTTTGGTTGTTTAACTACTCTTTCTGATCCGGCCATTTGTGTGAGAAGACTTCGAATAGGTATGGTGGTGTGTATTTTGGGGATTTATAAATTAAGGGTTTTCTTTGTTTGTTTGGTGGTTGTTTAACTATGTACATTGCCTAAGTTTGTTGCTTATTAGTTAAGTTCTCTTCGAATCGATGTTAATTTGTCGATTTTTAGTGTTGAATCTGTTTGGTAGATGTGAAACGAGGATGTGGAACCAAAGATTTTAGGCTAGAAAGTTTGGGAATTTAGATAACTGGTACAAAAGGTATAAGTGAAAGATAGGGGACAAGTAGTACAAGTAGTACAAATGGTAGAACTGATAATTATGGGACAACTAGTACAAGTCTCCGACTTATGGGACAACTAGTACAAGTCTCGGACTTATCATATTATGGGACAACTAGTACAAGTCTCTGTTAAAACTGATAATGTGGGACAACTGGTACAAATGTTATAGTGAGAAATTCGGGACAACTAGTATAAAAGGTATAATTGTGAGAAACGTAATTGGTAATATGATTTTTTTTTTGCTGCGTATACCAGGATATAATGAGCATTGGCCACACCAACATACATTTTGAGTATGGAGGATATTATTCACGGAACGAGGAGGAGTTTAAATGGATTTCAGTAAAACCTATATATGCAATATCATTTAAAAGATTATCTTTGGATGGGATTACTTATTCAGCTCTTGTAGAGAAGATATGCCAGAAGATTGCACTAAGCTCCAATACGACGAATCTGAAATTGAGCTACATTCCTTTGGTAGCTAAGCCTCAAATGGAGTCATGTATTTTCGGTGATGATGATGTATATGCTTATCTGACGACATTTGATAAAGATGGTCTGAGATCTGTTTTGAATGTGGAGGTTATCGAAGAGGTGGATACAGACAAAAGAGATCAGCTATGTGAGGATGATGTAGCTAATGGGGATAATGTAGCGAATGGTGGTGTTATGGTTCTTTTCAGGGCTGAGGAAGGAGGAAATCTAGAGAACATGCCTACTAATGAGCGTACTAATGAGCCTGATAGTGAGAAGCAGATGGAGAATGAAGATGGCTTGGAAACCGGTTTTGATGAGAATGAGCATGTTGAACTTCCACGGGAAGAAGAACAAACTCAATTTGTTCTAGAATGGGATGATGGTGCAGGTTTTGAAAAAGGTCAACAGTTCTGTTCGAAGGAGGCATTGAGAGTAATGGTTGATAAAGCTGCACATAAAGGGTGTTTTGGGGTAAAAACCGAGAAGTCTGACCAGGGTCGAGTGATACTGAAATGCCAACAAGCTGATCGTGGGTGTCCATGGTATTTACATGCTGCCAGAATTAAGGAATCTACATATTTCAGTGTCAGAGTATATAGGAGTGTTCATACCTGCTCCAGGGTTTTCGCGAGTACAAGTCGGAAGAGAAGAAAAGGTACTCCACAAGTAGTTGCATCTGTCTTGCGTGATGCATATCCAGGTCAGATTGACACCCCCGCGCCCAAAAGTATTATCAATGTTGTTCAGGTAGAAGCTGGAATAAATGTGTCTTACTCTACTGCATTGAGAGGCAAAAAGCTAGCTGTTAGTGAAGTGAGAGGGAGTCATGTAGAAAGTTTTAGGAAATTGCGTTCTTATCTATACGTGTTAGAGAGGGTAAATCCTGGTACAGTTACATGCGTGAAGGTGGATGCTGAAAATAAGTTCAAATATCTATTCATTGCTTTGGGTGCTTGTATAGAAGGTTTTAGAGCAATGAGAAAAGTCATAGTCATGGATGCAACATTTCTGAAAAATATATATGGTGGTATGGTTGTATTTGCTACAGCTCAAGACCCTAATCATCATCATTACCCCATTGCAATGGGTGTAATTGATAGGGAGAAAGATGGAAGTTGGAATTGGTTTTTAGAAACACTGAAAACTGTCATACCAGATGATGAAGAGCTGGTTTTTATGAGCGATAGGCATAGGAGCATTTTGAAGGCAGTTCATGAGGTGTATCCTAAGTCTCAGCACGGACATTGCGTGTGGCAATTGTCGCAGAACGTGAGAGGTAAAGCTGCTGTTGGTTTTAAAGATATTTGTGCTGCGAGATTTAGAGATTGTGCTCATATGTATACCGAGTATGACTTCATCAGCGCATACATCGATTTTGGGAGGAGGTTTCCTAAAGCCGCCGAGTATCTTGCTGCTGTTCCTGTGGAAAAATGGGCTAGGTGTTATTTTAAAGGAGACAAGTACAATTTGGACACCAGTAATGCTTGTGAGTCGATGAATAGTGTATTCAAGAGGGCAAGGAAGTACTCTCTACTGCCTTTGATTGATGCATATGTTGAAAAATTATCTGAGTGGTTCAATAAGCATAGAAAAGACACTGTTTCTGCAACAAGCTTAGGAAAACAGTTGGTGCCGTATGTGGAAAATGAATTACATACACGTTGTGCAGTTGCAACTCACCTACTAGTAACTGAGCTGAACGGCAGTGAACTTGAATACAGTGTCACTGGAGTTGATGGGAAGAGATATCAGGTTGATTTGTTAAGGAGAAATTGTAGTTGCAGATGTTTTGATATTGACAAGATTCCTTGCGTGCATGCTATAGCAGCGAACATATGTTTGAAATTGGGACAACTGGACAACTAGTAAAACTATGTTGCATTTGTGTTGTACAATTAGAAGAAGCATATGTTTGAAATTGGGACAACTGGACAACTAGTACAACTATGTTGCATTTGTGCTGTACAATTTGAAGCAGCATATGTTTGAAATTGGGACAACTGGACAACTAGTACAACTATGTTGCATTTGTGGTGTACAATTTGAAGAAGCATATGTTTGAAATTGGGACAACTGGACAATCAGTACAACTATGTTGTATTTGTGCTGTACAATTAGAAGAAGCATATGTTTTAAGCAATAGGTCAGAAAATAAGATAGCAAATTGGTTTCACAGTAAACACTCCTTATAAAACAAGAGAGTCTTCACTAATACTCATCACCTGATGATGGATAAATGCAAATTTTTGGATTTTTCAAAACGGATCAATCAGGACCTTTTAACTGTGGCATGAAACTGTAAACAATGATGGACAACTACAATCAGTGGTATATGGTCATGGGTCAACTGGAAATATTTGAAAAAGCTAAAAGTACAACTCTTACAAATATTGGACAACAATACAACTACGTACAACTATGTGATAACCTAAATCATATTTTATTTGCACGTGAAGCACGTGTATTTACTATGGCGGCAGAATAATTAAATAGTTTTTGAAATCTCTTTTCTTTAAATTGTTCTTCCTCTTATTCTAGTGAGCACTTCCTCGTTTTTTTAGGGTTTCAGCCGCAGAGCAATTTCGGAAGATTAAGATAATGTCGATGAAGGAATCTTCCTCAAAAAAGACTGCCTTTCCACCGAAGGATTACGGCATGACCACCAGGTGGGGGCCGGAAGTTAATGGAGTCCGCACCATTCTTCCATGTCCCAGGCAGATGGGTATTCCCAAGGTTTGCCACCACGGAATTGCTCCAATTGGCTGTCTAACCGACCGTTCAGTGTTAGATAAGGAACGTAGGTACTTTGGTTGTTTTTATGGTTGCTGTGGTCCCAAATCCCAGAGGTAAGTTAAAATTCGGAATTTAAACAATTTACAGATATACTATCTGGATTTCGCGAAAATTAGTTTTTCGTAAGTGGATTTTCAGGTTCCAAGCTGTGGCTTCAAAAAGTGGTGGGATGAAGCCATAGTTGAAGAGATTGAAATGGTAAAAGAAACTCAAGAGGAGATGAAGTCTTTGTTTGATGTCATTATCTCGAGGATTGAAGCTTTTGAGGCTGCTGTGAGCAAGAAGAGGTGCTCGAATGAAGGTTGAAGCTCAAGATCCTTTATTGAACTACTTTTTTATCCTGTACTGAACTACTTTGTTGAACCTTGTTGTCTTTTATTGTCCTATTTGTCCTACTTGTTGTCCTTTATTGTCCTACATATTTAAACTATGTTGTCCTTTATTGAACTACTTTGTTGAACTTTGTTGTCCTGTATTGTCTCTAATTTGTTTAACTTTGTTGTCCTGTATTGTCCCAAATTAGAATATCACACATAAAATCCACAACATAAACTAAACATCCGCAAACAAATCCAACATAGTTAAACTAAACATCCACTGACAAATCCAACATAAACTAAACAACCGCAAACATCCGCAAGTTAAAAAAAAAACATAACATCCAGAAAACAAGATAAACTACCACATCCGACAATTCTACTTCGATTTCTTCGTCTTCTTAGCCTTTCCTCCTGAGACCCAAGGCGACTTCTTGTACGTCGATTTTGACCGTTTCCTTTTTTTTTGGAGGTGATTCTGGTGCTGCTGCTGCTCGTGATGACGATGCTGCTGCTGCACGTGATGACGATGCTGCTGCTGGTCGTGAAGAGGACGCTGCTGCTGGTCGTGCTGACCACTCGCCTGATCTCCTTTACGGTCTCATCAAATGTGTAACGCCCCCATGGAAACCTTTTACACAAATTCAAATCAGAAACCACTCTAAGCAAGAATTCATCAATGTTCCCATCAATCTTGGATTTCGCTTTCAGTACTATGCATAAAAAATACAAGACTGCCAGCTTCTTCCTGTCTAGAGAGGGTTCCTCCATTGAGAGTAACTGAGCTTTCACATCTGCGATTTTGATTTGTGCTTTCCTTCCAAACATTCTCTCCACAAATTTCAAACTCCCCAATTTCTTATAGTTTTGCGGGTAATCATGGCAGTCAAGTCCACTTAACAGTGCATGCTCTCTCATAGATTACCTGATAGGAACTCCATTAACCACAAACCAAACCTCATTTCGCCTCTCAGTGTAAGCTGTGTGAAGGAGCAGCATCCAAAGTCCTTGATTCATGTGATTTGGCTCCCTAGCCATATGCAATATGTGCTTAAACTGCTGGTGTGATCTGAACCATTTATCCTCTTCTGGAAGAGACTCTATCACTTCAAAAACATGCTTCATACTACATCTCGTCATTATCCTTGCCGTCTTGCTATACTCGGTTGGACCGAAGTAGAGCTTCTCAGGTCCCATTGGTTGGTTTCCCTCATCTGTATCCTGAAATCCAAAGACAGTCTCACAAAGTTATCCCATTTGTTTCAATTGTACAACTACTCTACTTAACTCAGTTGTCCCACTTGTCCGAAACAACTAATCTAGTTAACTCAGTTGTCCCACTTGTACGAAATTGTACCATAACCAGTTAATCATATTTCCCACAATTGTCTTATTTGTCCGACTTATACTCCAAATACATAATGTTATCCCAGTAAACATTAAATTAATCAAAGTTGTCTCATTTATCTCAGTAGACTCTATCTCTTACCCGCATACAAAGTTTTCCCAGTTGTTCCAATTATACAAATAATCTAGTTAACTCAGTTGCCCCTTGTACGAAATTGTACCAAAACCAGCCAAATATATTCCCCACAATTGTCCTATTTGTCCTACTTATACTCCAATTACATAATGTTATACCACTACACCTTAAATTGGTCAAAGTTGTCCCATTTAACTCAGTAGATCGACTCTATCTATTAAACGCATACCTTCGCCGGTGAGGGTTCGTGTTCCACTTCTTCATCCTCCTGCTCTTGCTCTTCAGCCTCATGTTCTTGTTCTTCAGCCTCCTGCTCTTGCTCTTCAGCCTCCTGTTCTTGTTCTTCAGCCTCCTGCTCTAGTTCTTCAGCCTCATCCTCTTTTTCGTCAGCCCTCCTCCTCTTCTTCTTCGGCCTCCTCCTCTTGTTCTTCGGCCTCCTGCTCTTCTTCTTCAGCCTCATCATTTCCCTCCTCTTGTTCATCAGCCTCTTCATTTCCCGAATCTTGTTCATCACCCTCCTCCTTGCCCTCCTCTTCTTCATCACCCTCCTTTCCCTCCTCTTCTTCTTCACCATCCTCCTTTCCATCCTCTGCTTCATCACCCTCAGCCTCCTCTTCTTCTTCCATGGGGTTAATCGTTTCGGTTTCATCTTCTGTGGTTATTTTTTGGGCCGCGGTCTCCTCAATAGGATTCGGAGAGGTTTCCTTCTCCATTTCTGTTTCTGTGGGAATAGGGTTTATCGCGGCTTGAGAAACATCTTCGCTTGACTTTATCGCGGCTTCGGTAGGAATAGGGTTTACATCGGCTTGAGGAATATTTCCTTTCTCTTTCTCCGCGGCTTCAGGATTTACTTCAGATTCTCTCGCTGCGGCTGGAGAATGCGATTCCGTTTCAGGCAACGTTTCCCGGCTTTCACTTGACTCATACTCGACGCCGTTTTGTTTCACACGAGCCATGGAGAAGTCGAAACGAACAGAAGTTGGAGAAATCAATTACAACGGAATTTGTAGATTGTGGAGTGGAAATAAAAAGAACGCAATCGATTTACTTCTATCAATACTCGCCGGATTCTACGCCGGAAAACATTCAATCGGTTTTTTTCGAAATTCTTAACTGTATGGAGGTTTTTTTACAAATAATTCAAGTTTCATTAGGGTAAATCCAAAGATACGCGGGTCGGATCCGATTTAAGTTGGGTGGGTTTTCATATACCCAGGTTTTCTCGTAATTAAGAAGACATTCATGGATAGGGTAGTAAACAACCACCTTTTTGCTATTTAAAAAAAATCAAAAATAAATTGATTATTTCATCGATGGCATTGGGGCTCTTTTTTATGCGACTTATGGCATTGTAACATTTGATTCGAAGGCAAGGCTATAACTGTGTCTATTGTGGCCTAGAAGAATCAAGAAACCACTTGTTTTTCTTGTGTAACTATACTGCCAAAATATGGGAAAATATTGCAGCGTCTTCTTGAGAATGCTTTTTCCACATATTAGGATCATATAATTATCCACTATTCTATTCATCTCTCAGTCGATTAAAATTATCCTATCCAGGTACATTTTTCAGTGATATATTACGATATTTGGCGAGAGCGAAATGTTAAATGTTCGAAGACATGGTGGATCACCACTTTCTGCCGCTCAGTTAATCAGACTTCTCGACAAAACGTTCATAACTGCATCAGCGCTATTAAAACAAAATATCGATTATATATATATATATATATGAATTATTTTCATATGTTATTATGTTGAATTGAACACTGTGGTTACATGTACAATCATTAAGAGTATCTCCAACCAAAACACTAAATTTAGTGTAAAAATAACATCAAATTTGGTGTTATAGTGTTCTACTTTTTTTTCATCTCCAACTATAACACTATATTTCACACTAAAAAGAATATTTTCTATTATATTATTATATTTAGAATTTCTTTATTTTTAAAAGTGTTGATCAATACTATTTATAAAGATTTATAAGATTTTTTATAAAGGTTTATAAGATTAGTTATGTAATCAAAATTATATTTTAATAAAAAATAAAATTAAGATAAAAAGATAGTATGGTATATTAAAATTTTTCTTTAAAATTATTAAAACATTTAGTACAACATATCCATAAAGCCAAAATCAAAACTAACAAGCAAATATTTAAATTATATAATTAAAATTATATTTTTAAAAAGTTAAAGTTAAGACAAAGAGATAGTGTGGTATATTAAAGTTATTCTATAAAGCCATTAAAAAATTTAGTAGAACATATCCATAAAGCCAAAAATCAAAACTAAGAAGTAGAAATTTTATATAATTTATAAATTTAGAAATAATGAATGTTGTTTGTAATTAATAATAAAATAAAAAGAATATTTTTTAAATATTTTTATTTGAGGAAAAAAATATTATGTTATAATTAAATTTTTGTATCATTAAAATGATTTATACAAAAATATTATTGTTATATTTATTTTTAGTTACAGATTTAATCAATGAATAAACAACAAACTAATAATATTATTTAATAGAACAATTAAAAATAATAATATTTTAATATTTAATGTGATGAACAGTGTTACACCAAATATGGTGCGATACTGTTTATAAAACGCTAAAAACAAAAATATACTGTCCAATATACCGTTCGGTTAGAGCAATTCACACACCAAATTTGATGTTTTGTTTTGAAGTTACTCGAAGTATCCATTAGAACTAAAAAATTTATGAAGTTTTTAGATATCATATGGAATATAATAATTATAAAATATGATAATAACATTTACTAACGCAATTCATATTTAAGTAGTTAAACTTTATGATTCCCACCTATTGGATTTATGGCGAATGAATTAGACAAAATTGGAAGGGCCCTTGACAGTGTGTTTGATTAGGACGACGATAATAAACTAATTCCAAAAATGGAAATAGTTGGTCCATTCCAAACCCGGTGATGAAATAAAACTTTATTTGTATAAAAAAATAAAAGAGATTCATTGGTCAGCTGGATTTATGATATATTTACGGCGGCATATCCCGTCCTCACCTCACAACCAACTGTAAGGTAACCCGTAACCATGGATACACATTTGTCCCACCTTATAATACAATTATCTAAAATTTTGCTCACTAAATCTCCATTTTATATATCAATTAACTTTGAAAACTACACTAAAGAATGGCTTTATTTCAAAAGATACGTACGAAATATTTGGTTAGAATATCGTTGCAAACGAGAAGATAGACTTGTACACTACACTTTAACCCAAAAAAATAAAAAATAGAGTACGAATAAATACGGAAAGAAGCTTCCAAAAAAAATATGGACTAATAGACAAGTTGTGTAGAAACGGTTATATATTATGGTTTAACTAATAAACCTGAATGTATTTATAATATGTTTTCACATACAGCGGCCATCGCACCTAAGTGAGCGTTCATGTCACCTAGCATGTGAACGAAACCATCCGATATAATTGGGAGCCGTAATTTCACATTTTTTATCGAAAGAAATTTAGTTTCTGTTTTTGATAAATCCTTTTATCTGATAGATTTATTCAAACCGCCTTGGCACAGAACCATTTCATTTTTGGTCTACCTTTTTGGCCCGTATATGTCTGTGAACGCATTACGACGTAGAACTCTACAGGTCGTGTTTATAGCTGCAAAACCTTTGCGGTTTGGCCTCTTCTTAGAGCATTTGAGAAACAACCCGTTTGGTGGGGACATTTGAAATGGTTACGGGTCGTTATCGAAAAAAAAAGATATACTTCTCAAACATAAATTATTTTTAACATCCACATGGCATCATATAACTTCTTCTGCTTTATCTTCTTATAAAAAAATATATCCACCATTAATTTATTTTGCTTCGCAATAAATGGGTCAAGATATGTTCATCAATTTTCATATTAGTAAAAAGAAAAAATTTCCAAGTGTTTATACCTCTGGCAAATCTAATTATGAACATTTAAGATTTGTTGAAGATTTTTTGAAGATATGTTCAATTTTTAAGACTACATAATAAATGGAAATTTAACGATCACATGTCTCTACAAAATTTATATGGTTGAGGTTATATACATTGATTATAATATCTTAGCATTTAGAGTTTGAACCATATTTAATTTCTATCATGTTTCCTAGCTATGAATTTTCAAAAGTGGCCCAAATTTTCTGATATATCGCTAAAATTGTTATACAATGTGGTTCTGTTTTAGAATAAATTATAGGGAAAATAACTTCGGCATCTTTAGATATCGGGTTTCGTTTCTCAGCTTATACATGCAAAATGTTGGATGTGGAACACATAAAACATATCGAACAACTTGTCAACATGGCTAGGTCAACCAATGTGTGAAACTCAGACAACTAGCTAACTCAATCGGGTTACTACTCAAAGATAGTATGGATAACCATTCCGTCGCCCCCAGTGCCTTTTCATTCGAAGCTTAAATCATATTAATTTGGTTACCTAACTTTGAGAAATTTATATGAAAACTTATATGTAGATACTGATATGTAGATAAGATATGTAGATATATACATATATATATAGCAGGGAATTTATCAAAAGTAATATTTTAAAATATAATTTCAGTATTTTTAGCGTCTTTTTTGTTATATATAATTTCAAAATATAATTGCAGCATTTAAGGGCATGTATTTCGATATAAAAATTTAAACACATGTTCCAAATTTTAAAATTGATTAAAAAAAATGGATAGTCCAAACTTCTAACAATCAAGATAATAATAAATATATCATTTTTGTATATTTATTTAAAAGTTTAATAAAAATGTTTTTCATCTTAAATTGTTGATCTGCTGCTTGCGTTTCTGACTCGTGACTCCATATCTCGTCGGAGCAATATAATGAGTTAGTAAGAGTTTTAACTTCAATAATTCGGCTGTTGGGTGTTCTGCTTTATTTAATTTTTCTTTTCTCAGGAGCTTTTTTTTTTTTAAAGTGTTTTGTTATTATGATTATATTTTGTTTCTAAATATTCTTCCTTGTTTTAGTTTATTTTATGTCTATTTAATGCTTTTTTGAGATATTTATGTAATTTACCAGCGTTTAACTCTGGAAAATATGTTTATTCTGTCAGTTTGTGTTTTCGATGAGATTTTTTATCTCTGTCGGTGTGTCTAAATCTTTGTATCAATTCATGTTTCAGTTATTATTTTATTAATAATAATTTATAGATGACAAAAAAAAAAAGAAGACTAGGCAAGAGTAGGATAGACTGAAAGTAAAAGTGCTTAAAGACTTTTTCTTGGTCATTGATGTTTCCGAGTGAGAATGATAAGCTCCATATAATTCGACACAAACAAAATCAACACCAAGAACACGTGCTTTTTTACACGTTTCTCTTACTTTTTGTTCTTATTTTTTGTTTTTTGTTTTTTTGTTTTTTTGGCAATGACACGTTAAAGGAAGCCCAATAATTAGGACGTATATAGGTAGAAAAGCCAAAAAAAAAAAATATATATATATATATATATATATAAGATCTAGCTAGTATCTATTTGGTTCTTTGATGAAACTGTTGAGAAGGAGCAGTAAACGAGTAAATGAAGAAATGTGCAAAGATAAATTGATAAATGTTTTAGTTCCAGCTACAGAAACAATAGTTTCGCAAAGCCTACACTTATTTTGGTAAAACAACAAAAATACAAGTTTTTTTTTTTTGTTTTTTAGCATCAAGAGGTGCAGTTGACAACAAAAATGTAAATCAAGAGGTAATGCAAAATATTACCACCGATTAATTACTTTTCTATAACGAATGTATGTAGCCATTGGATAATTTATTCACTGGATTTTCTAAAACATGACAACATTTCGATTGACCAGGTGAAAGTAAAAAAAGTACTTTTATTGTTGGCTAACTTTGATAATTTGATTAGGTTGAACTTTCTTCGATTCGGTTCACAGTGCAAACTTCTCTTAAATTAACTTGTAAAGTTAATGACTTAAATATGCGCTTGTTAGGATAAGTCCAGACATATGGATTATAACTGATTAAAAATATGTTTTCTTTTTTCTTACTCATATTAAGAATATCTATATATTATAAAAAAAAAGGACAATCACATGATTCACGTTGACACACCTCTGTTATGCATGTGTTCATATTAATGAGTATAAGATCAAATAAAGGTATTCGACACACACAAAAAAAAAAGAGAGAAGATAAAATAAATGTATAAGTAGAGATCTAATCTATAGCTATAGTATTCTTTAGAATTAATAGATACGTCTGATACCGTTTTTTCTTTACCTGTTGACGCGGCAAACATTATTATGATCTCAGACCTCTAGAAGCCAACAAATTAAACGATCACCATAGACAATGATTTTAAAAACTTCTAGAGTGCTCGATCATAATAATTTTACTACATACGAATTAAAAATATTTTCGAAGATATACGTCACGTTTTATGCATTATATAACTAAAATATGGTCAACGTGGTTAAGGAGTGGAAGAAAAAAGTAAGCCGCGTCACGTTGTCAATATATAAAGAAAATACTTGAAAACACTTTCTTTTCATAAACCCTTTAATTAGGACAAAACAAGAAACACATCTTTCTATATCTGTCTCTCGTCTTGTCGTAGGTTCGAAAAAGTTTGATCTTTCTTTCATCGGTTCTTGCTCAATTCGGACATGGATGAAGATTTCTGCTTAGCTGATTTCTCACTAGAAGACATTGATTTCGACTTTAATTTTAACGAAGAAATCAGTCTATTACCTGACGAAGCGAGCATGCATACACAAAGGATTCAACGTTCATCAGATTTTGATAATCAAATGCGTCTTGGGTTCCTCAAAGAGAAGCCGAAGCCTGCGGTCAATAACAAGCCACAAATGATTTCTTTCGATTTTTTTAGTAATGTTTCTTCTTCGCCACGTGGAACCAAAAGAAAAGCATGTTCTCCTGCCACAAGATCTCCGGTTCTCGCCAAAGAACATGTTCTGGCTGAAAGAAAACGTCGTGAGAAGCTTTCGGAAAAGTTCATTGCCCTCTCAGCTCTTCTTCCAGGTCTTAAGAAGGTACAATTAATCAAAATTTTTGTTTATTAGAATTTGATGGTGAAAAGAAGAGTGATACTTTCAATTGGTTGATGAGAATACTCAAGTATGTTATGTTTGTTTTCAGGCAGACAAAATAACGGTTCTTGATGATGCGATTTCACGTATGAAACAACTCCAAGAACAACTAAGAAACCTCAATGAAGAGAAAGAAGCAACAAGAGAAATGGAATCATTGATTCTTGTGAAGAGATCTAAAGTTTTTCTCGACGAGGAACCTTACCTCTCGCCTTCTCCTTCAGATCATGATCAGCTTGATCAAGCATTACCAGAAATCGAAGCCAAAGTATCGCAAAATGAGGTTCTTATCCGAATCCATTGCGAGAAGACGAAAGGATGCATGTTTAACATACTAAACACGATAGAGAATCTTCAATTGCACATCGTTAATAGTGTCATATTGCCATTCGGAGACTCGACCCTTGACATTACAGTCCTTGCACAGATTGACAAAGATTTCTCGGTGAGTGTACTTAAGGATCTTGTAAGGAACCTGAGACTCGCAATGGCTTAGTCTTCTTCAAAGTTTTAGTAATTGACTGTACATTGATGCCAATGGTTCAGCCGTGGAGAATGAAACGACGACAATTTCCTCGATTTGCTGTCTTTTCACTGCTATAATTTTTAATATTTTTGAAACCTTACACTACTGTCGTTTTCATTATAGGGTTTTCTTCACACGTGTACTATCACGTGTTTGGTGTATTTTTGTAGGCGAAATTCTTGTCTTTAGTGGTTGAAACTAAAGGGATTATTCGTTGACATTAATGTAAATTGATATGTTTCTTTTTCGTAAATAAATTGATACGTTGTTGAATTTTGCTTTTGTTAAGCTAATCAAAAGTGGTCGTAAAAGTTTAGCAAAAATAAAGTGGCCACATAAAATATAAATATACGTTGAAATTTAGTTGTAGAAAGCAGAACTACTACTTCAACGTTTAGCGAAAAGAAAAAAGCAGAACTACTTGGAAGATAATAATTGCAAAATTTAAAATGTACCTATCTAGTTTCATAATATAATATGTTTAAGAATTATTATTTTCGTTTTATTTGATAAGATGTTTTACAAGTTTTATCATTGGCTGAAGTATGTTATAAATTAATATTTAAATGATATATTTTTTACAAAATAAATTTTTTAATATAAAATTTTTTATCTAATAATATCTTATTATATAAATGAGAATGATTCAAAGTTAGTAACTCGTTAGATCGTGACACGTGTTAAGTAAATCGATAAGCACGTGTTTAATAAATTTTTATTTATATTTTTAACAAATATAAAAGAGAATAATTCAAAGTTAGTAATTCGTTAGATCGTGACACATGTTAAGTGAATCAATAAGATTTTGACATGTTTTTTTAAAAAATTATTTATATTTAATTTTTAACAAATATTATGAAAAAAAATTATAATTGGTTTTTAATCATAAAAAGAAAAAATGTTTAGATTAAGGAAAATAATAAAAATAAATAAAAATTATAGTTTATTAATTTCAGTTTAACATAAAGAAAATTAAACAATAGATTACAAATTTACAACCAAAAAATATTTTGCTAATATTTTTAGTTCATAAGCTACATGTTTTTAGTTCGTAAGCTACATGTAGTTTTTTTATTTCATGTTACTTATATTAGGTTAATACATAAAATGATTATTGTTACATTAATGTAGTTATGTAGAATAGTTTTTCTTCAATTTTTGTAATTTTATTATTTATATTTAAATAATATTATGATTGTTGATAATTTTATTTTTAAATTTATATATAGCATATTTTTATAGGTGATCTCATTGTGTTTTCTATTTTTTGTATTTTTTTAATTTTTGTGGGCTATAATATTAATTTATAATCTTGCATATTTGCAAGTATTTATCTAGACCAGAAAAATTATGTTAATTTATAGAGTGATTATTATTGTATTAGTATAGTCATGTTAGAATATGTATGTTTTAATTAGTGAATTCCTATTATTTTGTATATAAATAGTTTTATGATTGTTAATAATTTTATTTGTAAATTTATGTATTACATATTTTTATTAATGAGGTCATTTTATTTTTTATATTTTTTTTATTTTTTACATGTTATAAAATATGAAATTATAAATTCGCATATATGCGGAGTACTATCTACTATAGTAATACAAGACAATAGTGAAGCATGATAAAAAGAATTGATTGAACTTCTTCTGGCTGTCTAGTAGTTGAAGACTGTAATAATATATCTAAACCATCATATTTTGAAACTGTAATAATTTAATTACTAATATTTTACATTAGATGGAATCACATGAATCACTGATAAAATAATGAAATATAGACAATGTTTTACGTTAAATGGAACACATGAATCATGGGACGAACGTGGCTGTTAGAATTATTAAATGATAATCCATTCCAAATCAAATCTCTTAAAACTTCTTTGAACATGGATATAATAAAAAAAAAAAGAGCCATATATTGAGAAACGTTGTCCCTCCAGGTTTCCACCAAGTTTGGGTTAAGTGTACATTTATTTTTGGTCGGCAAAGTGATTCTTAATTTGCAAATTTGGGATACATAATTTTGAAAAATAAATAATTATTTTACATAATTTTGAAAATATTTAGCATCAGTCAATGAAACCATTTTTTAATAACAATGAGTAATTATCCCACTTATCAATTTCAACTAATTGATGAATGATACCATGTATTATTATTATCCCACTCATCAATTTCAATGAAAACATATTTCACCATTTCTTTCTGTTATAACGGATGTGAAAAGATAAAGCTATAAACGTAAATAATACGACACAGATTTAATGTGTTTTACCAACGATGTATTGGCTACCTCCACAGACAAAAGAAACCAATTTATTAAGAGAGACAGAAAGTTCAGAAAACCCTGATGGAGGTTCTGAATCAGAATCGGAACACGTCAGAAATATGTATAACATAGATATTTATAGCTACCTAGTTAACCATAATCATATTTGGACATGTCACTCAGGCCCACATAACGTCCTTAAACTGATAGCTTCGGCCCATTACTTAAACCGACAATCTGCAGTAAACTCCAAAATTCACATGCACCTCATCTGACAGCTACACAGCTTACACATTCTGCTAACAGCTCCGCAGCTTACACAATCTACTAACAGCTCCACAGCTTATACAATCTGCTAACAGCTCCGCAGCTTACACAATCTGAAAACTTCACCTTCTGCAGTTTGCTGTGTAGCCAGCACCTTTGTCAGCTCACACTTTTTTCAGGTCGCACCTTCCGCAGGTCGCACCTTCCGCAGGTCGCACCTTCTGCAGGTCGCACCTTCTGCAGGTCGCACCTTCCGCAGGTCGCACCTTCCGCAGGTACTTTTCGCAGGTCGCACAATCTGCATTATGCTTTGTAGGTTCGCACCTTCTGCAACTTGCACCTTGTGCACCCTGTACCTCTGAAGCATGTACCTCTGAAGCATGTACCTCTGTAGCATGTACCTCTGAAGTATGTATCTCTGACAGTTTCAGATTCAAGGCACATTAACAAAAACTCCACCTTGACTTGAATCCTCTAAACAAATGTATCAGATGCAGTTCACACCTTACACAACTTCAGATTCAAGTCATTCCAACAATTTTCCACCTTGACTTGAATCTTCCAAAGAGATGTACCAGATACACCTTCATGATGCCAGATGTACCAGATTTCTCCTTTGCCCCAGACGTTCCAAAATGCACTTTTACTGTGCCGGATGTACTAGACGTCCCTTGTATCAGATGTACCTGATGCACGCTTACTGTGCCAGATGTACCAGCAATCCTTTCTATCATATGTACCAAACGCACCATTATTGTGCCAGATGTACCAGATGCACTCTTCCGGTGCTAAATCTACTTGGTGTTAAGTAGAAACAGATATCTCTACAGACCAGATATCCCTTTGGACCAGATGTCCCGTCGGACTAGACACCCTTGCGGACTAGACGTTATTTCAGACCATACGCCTCTTCGGATTGGACGTTCTTTCAGATCAGACGTTCTTTTGGACCAGACACACTTCACCAGGCTCAGATGCTCCTCCAGAGCCAGATGCCCCTCACCGGGTTCAGATGCTCCTCCGAGCCAAACAACCCTCATCGGGTTCAGACGCTCCTTCGAGCCAATTTTCACTTCGGACCTGCAGTGCATAATTCACCATTTCTTCAGAACCATATACCTCTATTGATCCAACCTCATTCCTTGTAAGCTGATCATGACAGGTACGATGGTGTATAATCTCAGATGGTGTCAGTTCTGACAAACCAACTTCTATATGTAGCTTTTGACCCTCTTCGTGTAGCTCCAAATCAGTCTCGTCACGACCTATATGCAGCTCCACCTGCATCTGTAGCTTCACCTGCTTGTCAAAGCTACTTTTCTCTATAGCAGCTGTGGTTAAAGGTTCATCTTGGAACCTTCTTTCTGAATCAACATTAGAGAACATGCACTTCACTCTCCGCAGCAGCTTATGATTCATCTGCTCAGATACACCTTTCGATTGTGATGTATCCGTAACTGCGTGATGTCGGACAACTCCTTCATCCTTGCATAGCTGATTGAGCTCTGATGAACAGAATTTCTCACCTTCCTCTGACAGAATTCACATCTCCTTTTCACCTATACGAACAAAGCTCTTATGCCATAGCTCTGAAGATGCTTTTCGTTTGCAACCTCGATGATGATATCATCTGCAAGACATAGCAAAATCGTTGAGTATGCTTTGTCCTCCAGACTTGTCTTTGCAGTAGCATCGTCCTTGTTGTCTTTCGACAGCGCCGCCCAATAGCCTTGTTTCTTCAGCAACGCTCGCACCTTGATTTGCCAGAGACTGAAGCTGTTCCTCCCTATGAACTTGTCGATACTCACGTTTAACCCAGACATCTTCTCACCAGATGCGGAAACTCCCAGAACCTGGAGCTCTGATACCAGTTTGTTATAACGAATGTGAAAAGATGAAGCTATAAACGTAAAGAATACGACACAGATTTAACGTGGTTCACCAACGATGTGTTGGCTACCTCCATAGACAAAAGAAACCGATTTATTAAGGGAGACAGAAGGTTCAGAAAACCCTGATGGAGGTTATGAATCAGAATTGGAATACGTCAGAATTAGGTATAACATAGATATTTATAGCTACCTAGTTAACCCTAACCATATTTGGACCTGTCACTCAGGCCCACGTAACGTCTTCAAGCTGATAGCTTCGGCTCATTACTTAAACCGACAATCTGCAGTAAACTCCAAAACTCACATGCACCTCATCTGACAGCTACACAGCTTACACATTCTGCTAACAGCTCCGCAGCTTACACAATCTGTTAACAGCTCCGCAGCTTATACAATCTGCTAACAGCTCCGCAGCTTACACAATCTGAAAACTCCACCTTCTGCAGTTTGCTGTGTAGCCAGCACCTTTGTCAGCTCACACCTTTCTCAGGTTGCACCTTCCGCAGGTCGGACCTTCCGCAGGTCGCACCTTCCACAGATCGCACCTTCTGTAGGTCGCACCTTTTGCAGGTCGCACTTTCCACAGGTCGCACCTTCCACAAGTATTTTCCGCAGGTCGCACAATCTACATTATGTTTTGTAGGTTCACACCTTCTACAACTTGCACCTTATGAACCATGTATCTCTGAAATATGTACCTCTGTAGCATGTACCTCTGAAATATGTACTTCTGACAATTTCAGTTTCAAGGCACATTAACAAATCTCCACTTGAATCCTCCAAACAAATGTATCAGATGCACTTCGCACCTTACACAACTTCAGATTCAAGTCATTCCAACACTTTCATTTTTCTTGGTTTGCGTCTGATTTGCATAGCCATAATGTCAACTCAACATTTTTTGTAAAGAATTGTTACCATTCTTTATGATTAGATCAGATTGACACATGTCTTATATGTGGTAATATGTGGCTTTTAAATGAAAAACTATATTCTCCTTAATATATTTTCGAATAAAACTACTATGCTATCGACAAAGGCGAGATCACAAGAATCACGTGTGTACGTTCTTACCTCTGCTAATCAAACCTATAATTTATTTTTATATTTGAAAAGGCTAACTTATAAATTATTATTCGTTGAAACTGGTTTATCAACTAAATAACATTTGGGTAAACGACAAAAAAGAAAAAGGAAAAAACACTTCTGTAAATTAAGAAAAAATTTTTGACAGTACTCCAATTTTTTTTTGTATTTTTAAAATTTACTGTAATTTCAAAAATTTGAAAACTGTTTTCTTTATGTTCAAATTTATTAAAATATCTTAAATAAATCAAACATATAAAGTATTTTTGAATCAAATTGCATTATCATTGAATAATCATTTCTGTCAAAAACATAACTGATATTTTTCACGTCATCACTCAAAAGAATAAAAAAGATGGACAATACAAATAAAATGAAAAAAAAATAGTATCTGGATAAAGATTAAGAATGACAGAATGTAAAAAACATATAGCTTGTGTTCACGTATATGATGCTGAAAGGAAATTGTATCATTGACTTGCTAAAGACAATGAATGAAATCATAAAATGTGAAAAATCAACAATGGATAGTCCAAATACGAGCCACGATTAAAGACGAAGTGATGGTAACATTCACGGTCAATTATGAAAAGTAAATGTTCAAAAAAATAAAAATTGAAAAGTACTACTCACTACTAATTCTCACAAATGTATCGGATCTGATCTGTTGCACATGATGAAATGTTATTGGCGAAAAAACTTGTATAAACTTAAAGTACTTTACTGCTGTGATATCACTATATTTTACTGCAGCTATTTGAAATCGCAATAAGATCAATATAACATGTGTTAGTTTGGGAGGACATCTTGCACTAGTAGTAGTCACTAGGGTTTATATATCCATTCTATTTTCTTATCATTGTAAATTCAAATTTATATTGCATAAAAAAAGTTAGTTTCAAAGTTATAATACCTGGGTTTGTTTTCAACCTATAGAAGTTTCTTAAATCTTAAATTATCAAACTACATCTCTCAGTTAATCTTTCTAGAAATTAATAAAATAGTATAGTTCCAATTATATATTTTTGTCATCAGTTCCAATTAATATGTAGAAGTTTGAATATATATACTATATATGTAATAATGTAAACCCTTGTTACAAAAAAAAGAGTATATATACTATGTAGCTTTCAAATGACAAAAGTCACAAAACTATCTGTTGACAAAAAAAATGACAAAACTATAGTTTTGAATAAAACTCCTTTCATCCCGACAAAGGCCAGATCACACGAATCACGTGTGTATAGATGGTCAATCCTACCTTTGTTTTGCTTTGGCAATAAAATATAGAAATTGGAAATACTATGGTGCGTAAAAATCGTTATGAGAAAATAATTTTACAAAGAAAATAATTTCAGTGATATGGGTATATGCTCTACCGTCCTGGATTTGATTCCACGATTAAATCAACAAATTGTTAACATGTACTCTGGTTATTGGGCTGTTGATGATTAGTTTTAAACCTAGAAAATCTTTGGATTTATCAATTTAAAAAAATAAATATATAGATATATATATATATATCATTTTACAATCTCTAATTTCTGCACATATTAAAAAATGTTAAAATTCTATTTTCCATTTATTTAAGTAGTAATACATCAAAGTAATTATTATCTCGTTCATCAATTAACCATGCTGTCAAAATAAAACTATTTTCTGTTAATGTGAGAAAAAATAACTGTTTTGTAATTATTTTTTTGCCAATAAAAAAAATTGATACCATAGGTAATATAAGTTGTTTTCATATTTTTTTTTAAATTGTCTTTTTGTCTGATAAAAATACTTTCCAGAATTCCTATGTTAACTATAAAATGAGACAGATAATTCTTGCGGATATGATTTCGTAACTTAAGTTAATGCGTCAGGTACAGATTGGCGTTGGGTCTATAGTTTATAAAATGAGCCTTATCATTATCTCAGTCGAATTGAATTCGACCACTGTGTATCACTTCGCTCTTCGAGGCATATAATGTGTGAGTGGATTTTTCATTGTCCGCTTTTTACGTGTCTAATCTGATTTTACGCTGAAAAATATAACTAACAAATAACAATCTCCACGTTGAAAGGGACTGCTCCCTATAGTATGATATAATTAAGCCTAAGACCATCTACAGTAGTTAGAGATTCCAAATAAATCTTTAATAAAAAATATTAATATTTTATAGAATTTAGCATTATAATTAATTTTTACTGACTAAAAATAATTGAACCAATAGTAAAAAAACATATGGTTCTAGAGTATCTCATAAGTTTTTTAAAGTTTCATCTCTTTCTTTTCTTTTTATTATTTTCTTGCTTTTTTAAATAGTGAAAAAATTTCTCAAAAACTTCTACTGGGGATGCTCTAAACTCCTAACTTTTTACTTAATTCGTGCGTCTTCCGAGTCCGGACCAGACATGCACTGATGCACAGTATCATCATTGATATTATATCAATGATCTTTAGTGTATATGTGAAATGTGACGAAAATTTTGTAATGCTATACGCAAAGATGAAGAAATGTGTGATTGAGTATGACACGTCAGAAACATTGAAAAGTCGTTGTTATTATTTAATTTATTTGTCCAAATAGATTCAACGGGAGGATCATATTATTGCACAAACAAGTAGGAGTTATATAGTGGCCATTATATTCAACCTATCCTGGCTCAACAAAATAATTCAAATTATTTTTATATATGTTAGCATAAAATCTAAATCTACGTAATGGAGGATATGATTTTAGTTTTCTTTTGTATGAATGGAATATTTCATAAATAAATTGTAAAACTAATGGTAAATACTAAATAGTATTAGAATTCTACCTGTGTTTCAAAAAAAGAAAAAAAAATATTGTCTATCTTATACAGTAAAATTCTCTGCTTTTAAATAGTAAAATTATACAACAAAGCTCTCTTGGTTTTACTAGGAATCTTTCTCCTATCTTCTTGTGTTGGTTTATTTTCTTTATTGATGGATAGAGATGAGTGGTTTCATCTAGTTCTATTGTAAATACTAGTATTATTTATTCAAGCAAGCTTATTAACAAAAAAATTATACAATTATGATGGGTGCTCGGTATTTCGATGTACTGCATCTAATCTATTCAAAATTGTGCACAGAAAACACAAAACAGCACATTTTATATTAAAAAAAAACTTTAAACTTGAGTATATATGACTATATATATCTCATTCAATATGTTTCTGTAACTACATCTTATCTGATTCTTTTTCTATGCCGTTGTATCGTACCTAAAGCCACTTACACCCCCAAATAAATGTCAAGTTGGATACATTTATTAGCATAATTAAACTAATTTAAAATCATGGTGGTTTTCCAAGAACAGATCTCATCGCATCTGTAGCTATTCAAATCTCTACGCATTAATTCCAAGTTCATGTAAACGATACCCACATTTAATTTTGAGTCAATTTGGTAAATGGCAAAAGTGGAATTTAAGTTAAGTAAACAATAACTGATGGACTTCAAATTAGGTAATAACGTAATAGAACAAAGTAAATATTTGTTACATACACGTGATATATGATATGTTATTTTTATATGAATGTCTAATTTCTTAAATGGAATCCGAACAAAATAAATTATAAAATCAAAATTTGGAATTCCAACCTTTATTTTATTTGTGTTAAAATCCCAACCTTTTATTTAATAAATCACCCAATCCATAATCGTTTGAATAAAATAAAATCGTCAAAACTCCTCAAAATAACCAGATAATATATATATATATATATATATATATAGGTTTTCAGGATCTGTTTATAGTTTAAAATAATAATACTCCATAATGCTGCAAGACCTTCCAGATCGGGTGACTGATTGCTCGATATTGTGAATATGCGACTTCGTCAGCCAAATGCATATAACAATTATAAATTTTTTTTAACGCATATGCTCTTTTCAGGCAGATATAATATATTACAGAATAATTATTTTAAAAAAACGAAATCATTACGTGCACGATCAATGTGAAGCCGCGTCGACTCAAAACCCACTATAAAGAGTTCACTCGTCCACATTCACATAACAGAACAAAAGCATTCTTACTCCAAATTCCAAAATAGCATAAAAGAAACTCTAAATAGCTCCTCTCTATACAACTTTCTGCTAAGGTGTTCTTTTTGTCTTGCTTTCGTGTATAATGCAATTTTATTCTTTTTAACTATAATTTGCTTTTCCTGTTCTTGAAATTAAAATGACTAATCAAGAAATAAACATTTTTGTGATATCCACAGGCCAATGGAAGATTCGAACTTTATGGATTTAATGATTGACACAGACGAGTATCTGATTGATGATTGGGAATCCGATTTCCTTGGTGAAACTACTGATCATTTGAACACGGAACCGGGTTCGGGATCCGAATCCGGATCCGGATTGAAGCTGGTATCTGAGAGACCAACAAAGCAAATGAAAGTCAACTCAACATCTTCTTCTCCATCTTCTTCTTCTTCCGGTTCGCTCACATCCCCACGAGTGATCTCGTTCGGGTCTCCAGACCCGAAGATGAACGTGATCGAGACATCCTTGAACTTCTCCAACATAGCAAACATGGATCAGAAAGTGGGGTCCAAAAGAAAAGACTGTGGTAATAACGGAGGAAAAAGAGAGCCACATCTATTGAAAGAACATGTTTTGGCTGAACGTAAACGTCGACAAAAGCTCAGTGAACGTTTGATTGCTCTCTCTGCTCTTCTTCCTGGCCTCAAAAAGGTCAGCATCAATAAAACATTTCTTTATTATTCGGTTAAGCCTTCAATTATTGCTTTAGTTTTCGTTAAATATTTAATGTGGATATTTTACAAATAATTCTTCAACTTTGATTTACTAGTTTTAAATGTAAGCGCCGAACTTAATAAAAATTAAGAAAAATCTTTTATCTGCGTTTGCGTTTGCATCTACACTTTACAAACTCATTTAGCAAAAATAATGTATTTTTAAAAATATATATTTTTTCAAAATTATTTTCTAGTAAAATTTTGCATTTAAGACAGTCAAGCCTATTCTTCGCTCCTTGGATGTCTTTGTTTCTCGAAATGTATATACTACAAAAGAGGTTGGAACACGACTACACGAGGTATTTTATTTTCTAATATACGTCACAAAGAACCGGTAAAAATGGTTCCATGACACCATGTTTTTACCGGCCAAACTTGATTATATGAGTTGTTGGGGAAAAAAAAACAATCAAGCTTTTTATTTCTTTTAAAGTTTTTTCTTGGTGGGTTCCACTACTCTGTAAATCTTGATGGCGACACCATGTCCCTTAAACATGATCTTTAGAAACATTTTTTTGTTTGCTTGTGTTTAGGCGGACAAGGCAACGGTTCTTGAAGACGCGATCAAGCATTTGAAACATCTTCAAGAACGAGTAAAAAAGCTAGAGGAAGAGCGAGTAGGAATCAAGAAAATGGATCAATCGGTTATATTGGTGAAGAGATCTCAAGTGTATATAGACGATGATACTTCATCTTATTCTTCTACTTGCTCTGCCGGTTCTCCTCCGTCTTCTTCCTTAGACGAAGTTTCGATCTTGAAGCAGACGATGCCAATGATCGAAGCCCGAGTTTCAGACAGAGATTTGCTGATTAGGATTCATTGTGACAAGAACAAAGGTTGTCTGATTAAGATCTTGGGTTCATTGGAGAAGTTTCGTCTTGAAGTAGTCAATAGTTTTACTTTACAATTTGGAAATTCAACTCTCGTTATCACCATTCTCTCTAAGGTAATATATCTATGACTCTTATTATATTTTGATTTTATCATATTGAATTTTTTGCATACAAAATGTAACTTTTTTTCTTTCTTTTTTGATAATTTTCTTTGCAGATGGACAACAATTTTGCTCGACCTATTGAAGATGTCGTGAAGGACATAAAACTTGCATTAGCGGAATAATATTTTTTCTTAACCGCTATGTGAATTTCGCAGCGGTTAAACGTGCGATTTGATCTCCAATTTTACGCGTTGGATAATAAAATCAGAGTGAGGCATGAGATATGGGATTTGTTGAGTGGAATAAGCTGGATTAGTGTGTCTACCTAATTATGGCTGGTTTGCTATTTTTTTCCCAATATCAATGGTTCGATTTTAATAAGGGATCCTTTTAATAATGAAGATGGAAGAGTTATATCAAATATGTCAACTTTATCATCAATCATTTTACCAAACAAACTTTATCATCAATAAAATGATTAGATACTTGTTCCACGTTTTCGCGCAGGGTATGGCTTTTTACCATAGAAATAATATATATATTATTATCTTGATGTGGTTTTGGTACAAATGAGATTTAAAAAGGATTAAACTAAAGCTTATGTTATTTTGATTAAGTAGTAATGGATTAGTGGTTCTCATTTGTGTGGAATTATTTACCTGTCTTCATTTAGATATTATCATGTCTTACAATTTATTAAAAAAAATTTTGATGTCGGGTTTTTTAAACCATGTCCAAATTTTTATTCGTATGATATTATTTCGTTTTGGGTTCAATTGATAAAGTCTGCACGAATTTGTTTTTAGGTTCTTTCCTATAAAATTTCATATTAATAATATTCCAATAATTCTCCTTTCAAACTAAGGACCACACAAATCCGTGGCATTCCAACCTTCTGCGAAACTTGACATCCATTTTGTACCACCGTACTCACCTATGGAATCTGACACCAGCACCCATAGTCATAAGGTCACTTTGAGGGTTTTCTCTCCCACACTAAACACACAGCCCACATCCATTTATCTAAGTCTACCTTTTTCAGAACCTTACTCTGATACCAATTGTTAGGTTTTTCAAGCTCATGTCAAACTCTTTATTAATATGATATTGTCCACACATCTGTTTGGATTTTTTTTCAAAAGGCATCCTATTAATTACTTTTAAATATTACTTATATATTAAACACATTTTATCTAAACTTTCGATATGGACTTGGATTGATATCCCTAATACTTTATAATTGGGCTTATCCGATACCACATTCACAAGATTAATTAGTGAGATGGTAAAAATCTAAATCGCTCCCTGCTTATTAAAGAAAAAAATTGTGTTACCCGATATTATGAGTTTGTAACTTTATCAATATATGGTGCCATTCGTTTGTGGTTCTAAATCCAATATTTGACAAAAAAAATTATGTAAGAACTTAACAGAGGTTGTTAGAGTTTTTGTTAGTGCATCGAGTTTGCATTCTTTAATCATAGTAAGATATGTATGTATATTTATGCTCAAAGTATCCTTTTGTTTAAGAAAGAATAGGCCAATATTATCTATAAATTTGTGCTCAATATTCTTTAACCAATGTACCCTATTATTTATAAAACTCTATAATTATTATGTTTTGATTGGTAACCTGTAGAATGATGGAATTATGTTTTTATACATGATCCTGCATGTATTTTATCAATCAACAAAAATCTGTAGTGTAAAAAATTAATATCATTTTTATTGTTTGTATTTTAAACAATCAACAAAAATCTGCAGAGTAAAAATATAAAACCATTTTTATTGTTTGTATTTTAAACAATCATTTCAATTGTTGTTTTGTATTTCTAAATATAATATTCAATTCAGTCCTTTACTAATGTTTTTATCATCACAAAAAAAAAATTTATATTATCATTAATTATAGAAAAAAGATTGTTAATTTAGTTATTGAAGGGATTTTATTTGTGCTCCTTCATCTACGACATCATATAAAATTATATAAATTGAAACCAACATTAATTTTATACGTTCATGGGAAATGTTTGACCAAATTTGGTACTTATGAAAATTGATAACATTGCACGGCAGTCTAAAAACAATAAACCAACTTTTAAACGTACGTTTCTATTTAACAAAAAGGAACAACTACACAAGATATGAAACAATAAAACACTTAAGAGGAAACATACGAAGAAGATAATGTTGCAAGATTATTGCTATGTTCTCACTTTGATAACCCAGTTACATATCAAACGTTCTCGTATCTAAGAACACAGAGTGGTTCCCGTTTCTTGAATCTTTAAGATCAGAGACTACTCGCAAGAAAACCAACAAGAGCTTTTATTCTATTTGAAAGATAAACTTGAGTGTTTATTGACAACCAAGTCTCCTTATTTCTTCACAAAGGTAACACCTTTCGCAATACTTCCTGCAAGCTCTTTCTTTGCTTTCTCCAATCCCATTCTGATCAAATAGAGAAAGATTGCGAAAAAAAAAACAATATGAACATAAGAGATCGAAGGTTAATTCAAGTCCCAGGCTACTCAAGATTTCAACTTTTTTTACCTCTCGTATTCGTTTAATGGTCCAAGACCATACACTTCATCGATTCCACATCGTCCCAGACGCACTTTTGATGCGAAGAAGGGAAGCTCAGTCACCTGTTTGAGGAATAAGACAAAGCTTATATGTTAGTCGAATGTAATGTAATTAAGGCTAAGCTAGATAACAGATACGTTATACAGATGATTTCACAAGGACTTTACATGAGACGCCACAAATGCACACTCGACGATGTTTGCATCACCTCGTAGACCCCTGAGGCAAGCATCTGCAAACTTCACCGCTGCGTAAGCCTGTAATTTACATTCAAATGTGTTGAGAGATTGAAATGTTAAACAACATCAGGGCTTTGCCTAAAACTGCACATGTTACAAAAAAAACCTACCATTGATAGTGTTGCGGAACCTGTCCCAGCTTTAGCCTGCAAATTGATAGAAAACGCTAAATGCACCGGTGGATACGAAGTTAATGACAAAGGATGCTGAAAAAACAGTTTATACTACCTCGACAACTTCAGTGCCACCGTTTTGGATCCGGTCGGTGAGGTACTCTATCTCTTTTTGAGTGAAAGAGCAAGGAGGTTTCACCTATCACAAACATAATAAATTATGTTATCCATTTCCAGAGTCTTCTTTGCACAAACAGAAAGATAAATTCCCAGTGAATCATCTTAAAACCTGAGAAAGCAGCGGTAAAATTGTAACTCCTGCGTGTCCTCCAACAACAGGAACATCAACTTCTCGGGGATCAAGACTCATCACTTCTGCCTGTTTCAAACCATGAAGGCAAGAACTGAGTTCTAATCGATAAATGGCAACACGCGATTCTTAGCAGTGACATTAACCAAGTTATCATTTGATTCTTAACATTGGCCATACCGAAAGAGAAATATTAATGAGTGCATACCACGAAAGTATTAGCTCTAACAACATCAAGCATAGTGACGCCCATGAGTTTCTTTGGATCAAAGGTTCCAGCTTTCTTAAAAACCTCAGCTGCGATTGGCACCGTGGAGTTCACCGGATTACTGATTATATTCACAATCGCCTTAGGACAACACTTAGCTATAGCTTCAGAGAGCGTCCTCACGATCCCAGCGTTGATATTGAACAGATCATCCCTCGTCATCCCTGGTTTTCTCGGAACACCAGCAGGTATAATCACTAAATCCATACCCGTAAGTGCTTCTTCTAACTGCGGTTGCCCTAGAAATCCACGAACCTAGAACAAGTTCCAAGAAAAACAGTGACAAGAAACTCGAGACTCAGTATCACTTTATGATCTTAAAGCTCATTTCTCTCTGTTACACTATCATCTAACAAATGATTTCGAATCATAGCTCTTCAAGTATCAGCAATGAACTATTTGCATCATCTAAGTAACGCCTTAAAACACTAGAATTTGGAGCTAGTGTCCATGATCCTGAGCTCAAAGTTCTTAACTCATTATCTAAGTACTGCGAATTTTGGAATCAAAAGACTTGAAAATTCTAGAAGATAAGTAGAGCTTACGATGGCACTAGTGTCCATGTGGCTAATATCTGCAGTAACACCAGGAGCATTAGCAACATCGTAGAGATGAAGAACCGAGACCAAAGGATTCATCTTCATCAACATCGCAAGAGGCTGCCCGATCCCACCGGCTGCTCCAAGTATCGCCACTTTGAATCCGGAAGATCCGCCTTTGGCCCGACAACCCACCGATCTTAGACCCGACCCTTCACACATCTAAACCCAAATTCGAAATCGGGTCAAACACCAAATAGGATCAGGAGAATCGGACGAAAGTGGAAATTCGAAAAGCGAGACGAACCTGATCAAGGTTAGGAGGATTGAGATGAGCAGAGATTCTCGCGATACGTTGGTTCGCATCCATATTAGCTGATTTTGCTTCGATTGATTATATATGATCAAAATGAAAGCGAGCGAATCGGCGAGAAATGGTACGAGGGAGGTTTATATAACGGAGATTGAAGGTGAAGATGACGTCAAAAATGGTAAGATGTATTGGGAAGCGTGACGAGTACAGAGTTTATCTTCCTTCGAGTGGGCGGCTGAAAAGCCATAAGCTAAAAAGCTATGTGTCTAATAATTAATTTTTTTTTAATTATTTTTATTAACTTAAACCCTGAAAATTATATCATTTTCCTTATATATCTTCATAATCACGAAAATATTAGATAAAACCCACCCGTTTTAAGCCTACCTGATAACCCATAAAAATCTAATTTCTTTCTAAAAAAAAAAATTCTTTTAATTTTTTAATTCTTTTTCTTTAATTATCCTTTTTTTTTCTCTATTCATCTTCATCATCGGCGATAGATTCTAAAAATCACCAAAATCATATCTTCATCATCCAAACTTTGTCTCTTCATTCTCTGTAATCAGTTTTTTATCTTTATCTTCTCTTCCAACCACAATTGTTGAAACTTCAAACCCCAAATAGGTTTTTATTTAGAGATTTATGGATTTCACAATTTAGGGATTGGATTTGCCAAAATTGCTTGTTCGGTATGCAAATCGGGTTGGTTACCCATGATTAGGTCTTTGCATAGATAATTTATCGAATATAGTTGTTGAATCGTAGTGATTCTTAGGTAGATTAGAATTAAAATCCAAGTTCATCACCAAATCTGCAGAGGAGGACAACTGGTACGAATGGTACAACTAAGAGATAAGAGGACAACTAGTACAATTGGCACAACTATGAGATAGAGAGGACAACTGGTACAAATAGGTATAACTAAGACAACTTAAATAATTGCTGATTAAAAATTCTTTTATTATAATTGCAAATCGGGTTGGTAACCTAGTTTTATGTGACGATTAGGTATTTGCATGGATAATTTGTTAAATATAATCGTTCAATTGTAGTGATTCTTAGGTAAATTATAATTATACCTGAATTCATCACCAAATCTGCAGAGGAGGACAACTGGTACGAATGGTACAACTAAGAGATAAGAGGACAACTAGTACAATTGGTACAACTATGAGATAGAGGACAACTGGTACAAATAGGTATAACTAAGGCAACTTAAATAATTGCTTATTAAAAATTTTTTTATTATAATTACAAATCGGGTTGGTAACCCAGTTTTATGTGACGATTAGGTATTTGCATGGATAATTTGTTAAATATAATCGTTGAATTGTAGTGATTCTTAGGTAAATTATAATTATACCTGAGTTCATCACCAAATCTGCAGAGGAGGACAACTGGTACGAATGGTACAACTAAGAGATAAGAGGACAACTAGTACAACTGATACAACTATGAGATAGAGGACACCTAGTACAAATGGATATAAGTCTACAACTAAGACACCTTGAATAATTGTTAATTAAGAATTGTTTACGATATTTTTAAGAAATAATGAGTATCAGCCACACAAGCAATTCAATAGATTTTATATCATTTAATACCTCATATTTGGGCAGATAACTTATTCAGTATTACTAGATAAGATATTGTATGTAAGAAGATTGCGATATATGAAACTAAACAACTTTAGAGTAGATAATTTATGTGGACAATGAATTGCACATATAAATGAAACTAAGTGGAGTATTTCTGATAATATACAAGAATTTTTTGTCTTATTGCCGAATTACACCAAAAAAATAAAATCAAAAAGTGGTTTTTATTCTCCAAAAAATGTTGCCAAAAGATAGCAAAAGTAGCATGGAAACTAAATTAGCTAATGAAATTACATTTTAGCCGAAGAATTTTCATTCTCGATAGCCACTTTTTAGCAGAGAAAATCTTTCACAAATAGGGATAAACAAAGTACAGTTAGACACATATATACAATTATCTATAACTTCTTAATCTAAAAACAAGGTACAACTGAATGAAAGATTCAACTTATTTCAGTTTTAGTGTGTACATGAGTATTTTGGAGTTATTTGTATTTTAAATTTCTTGGATTTCTTTAATTTTTTGCATTACTATTTATTTTGGAGTTATTTATATTTTAGATTTCTTTGATTTCTTGCATTACTATTTATTTGGAGTTATTTGTATTTTGAATTTCTCCAGGGCAACTAGGTGCAACTTGGGACAACTATATTTTAATTGTAGTGTTAAAAAATAAATTCCTAATATTATTTACTTAAAAGCCAATATAACCCATACCCTAATAACTGTATCTTTTCACGTCTATACTAGAAATAATAAAATAAAACTTTGTTTTGTTCAAAGAACCAAATATTATTGGTTTCACGTGAAATAACCCTTATGTTATAAGGAAGTCTTTGACAATGTTATCCATCTTATGCAAGCATCTATGCCAAAATATAGGAAATAGAAAAATAATGACGCAAAACCCTTGGGGCTGCTATATAATGTTCGAAATTTTTGTGGACAACTAGAACATAATAATTTATGTTGAAGGATAACTGAAAAAACTACAAAATCGATCAAAGGACAACTATTACAAATTTTGGACAACTGGACAATTAGGTACAACTATGTTGTCAGTCGTAGACGCACGTGCGCCGACAAAAAGGGACATGTGCGCAGTCAAAGTACCACGTGCGCCGTCAATTTTATACATAGTTGTACTTAGTTGTCCAGTTGTCCAAAATTTTTCATAGTTGTCCTTTGACAATTTTAGTATTTTTTCCAGTTGTCCCTTGATATAAATTATTATTTTGTAGTTGTCCACATGATTTTTGACTATTGTAGTCCATTTACAACATTTTCATAAACAATTTATGCAAAATCACAATTTTGTCTCTTTTCCATCATAAGATTGTTAACATTATCAAAGTCTTTTTTGTATCATATGGGGTGTTCGATGTGAAACCAATAATATGTATTAGAAAAATGATAAATTTCATGTTATCCATCTTTTTAATTTTATTTCTTATAGTTTACAAATTTTTTACATTTTTAAGTGAATATTTGCTTTCTATATTTATAGTTTATCACTATTATTTTCTAATGAAAGAATTGCATATAATTGTACATATGTGTCCAGTTGTACCTTGTTTATTTCCATCCAGAAAGTATTCTCTGCCAAAAATGAAATTCTCTAGATTAGATTGACTTACCTAAGTGTCACTATCCATCAAAATAACATGTGCACTTATGTGCGCCGTCAATTTTTGTACATAGTTGTACCTAATTGTACTAGTTGTCCTCCTCTGCAGATTTGGAGATGAACTCAGATATAATTATACTTTACCTAAGAATCACTACGATTCAACGACTATATTTAAGAAATTATTCATAATCGTCATATAAAACTAGGTTACCAACCCGATTTTCAATTATAATAAAAGAATTTTCAATCAACAATTATTTAAGTTGTCTTAGTTATACCTATTTGTACCAGTTGTCCTCTATCTCATAGTTGTATCAGTTGTACTAGTTGTCCTCTTATCTCTTAGTTGTACCATTCGTACCAGTTGTCCTCTTCTGCAGATTTGGTGATGAACTCGGATTTTCTACCTAAGAGTCACTACGATTCAACAACTATATTTGATAAATTATATATGCAAAGACCTAATCATCACATAAACTAGGTTACCAACCCGATTTACATACCAAACAAGCAATTTTGACAAATTCAATCCCTAAATTGTAAAATCCCCAAATTTCTAAACAAAAACCTAAATGGGTTTGAAACTTCAACAATGGTGGTGGAGAGAAGAGATAAAAACAATAAAGTGATTACAGAGGATGAAGAAGAGGAGGAGAGGCGAGGGTTTGACGGCGAGAATGAGATTTGGTGGTTTTCAGAATCCATCGACAAAACGGTGACGAAGAAGAAGAAACAGAAAAAAAAAAAAATTTTGAAATTATTTTTGAAATTAATTTCGTTTTAAATTATTAATTTCAATTTAAATAAAATCAATCACTTTTTTATTAAATTCAGGAATGCCACAAAACAATTCATTAAGGGTAAAATAGGAATTACATGTGTATTATAGCACACAGACTTGTTTATGGCACAGCAGATTAACTTTTTTCAATTTATGGAATTTTAGTCATGTAAGCTCTTCCTTCATGTCTTCTCGATCCAAACATGGAAGAAATTATTTGGATAATACAAAAATCGCAAGTCTTTGAGTTTCAGAAAATAATATAATATTATTATGGAACTTCAGAATTTGTTTTTCATAAACTATTTATGGACTTGTGTAGTTGATTATCAAGATAAAAGTACTTTTCCTTTGAAAAAAAAATGTCATTTGAAGTGAAAAAAGAAAAAAAAAAACTTGTTGGTTCATTTTCAAGATAAAACATTGTTCATCACACGAGTTATGAATTTAGTTTTTAAAGAATGCATTTTTCCTGTTTCAAATTATAGATGAAAATGTAAATTATGTATTCGGTTTGGATTTCTAAACAATGTTAGGTATTAATCTTGTTGAAGAAAACAATTAAAAAAATTAACATATTATATGGTAAACTATTTATAGTTCAATTTGTTACGATCAAGACTGTCCATTATAACCAAGGGTCAATAGCTAAACTGGTAAAGATCTCAGACAAAATCTAGAGGTTGCTAATTTGAATGACTTTTTGGACAAAACTAATATTATATATTGTAGTTTCGGGTTTGGAGGAATTACGAATTTCGGCCCAGAACCTCTTGGAAATTCAAAAAAAAAATGTCCATTATAATGTCACTATAAATTAGATTATCTATCAATTATCATGAATTCATTTTTTTGCTAAATTGTAAATATTTTATTAAAAATATAAAAGTTTAGGTGTTATAAATTATTAAAATATTGGTCTCATAGCTAAAAAAGAGAAAAAAATATGGAAGCAAATACAATCGGTATTGAACCGACATTGAAGCTGTGAAATACAAATGACGAGTAGCGATAAAGAGTTTGAAGGCCCGAAGAAAAGATGAAACCAAGATAGGATCAAATGGAGATCCCAAAAGAAAAGACCGTGAAGCGCCCATCTCACAAATCATAAGCTTTTTCATCCGGTAACACAAAAAAGAGCCATTCCTCTATGGAGTCCGAGGAGGTCTGACCTCAACATTTATAGTTCAACACTCAACCAACAAAAAAAGATCTGGTACTAAAACGAGACTACACTAACTATCAAGCGAAGACTAGCTAGTTCACGCTACCAAGATACTTTTCCAATGTCGATAGCACTAAAACGAGCAACTTCACAGCTCAACAGCCTTACTAACTCCTCCAAAAGCAAGACAAACGAGACAAAAAACCGAACTTAAAGAAACCTTAATCCAACACCACCAAAGAACACAAACATGCCAACATGTATTATGAATTCATGTATTGTAGAAATAAATTTTTGGATAGAACCATCATCACTGTCGTTTGTGTTGCATAAACTTAAATCGAACTGTTCATTCAAAACATTAGATCATCGTTTTAAAATCAAATATCTTAGTCTAATACACACACAAAAACGGGACACACACACAAAAACGGGACACACACACAAAACAAAACAAAAAACATATTTGATTGGATCTATATCTATCTAATGGGCTAGGCTTCTTTCCGGAAAGGCCCAATAATTATGGTCAATGTCAAAGTCAAACAGTGAAACAACACTCGGTCCTTGTTTTAGTTGTTAGTTTGTTACGACGTGGCTTTCTTCACGCAAAAAAAGAACGGGAATATTAAGTATTAAATACACATTAAATAATAATAATAAAAATATCTCGAAAACAGATCATCCGAACTTTCGCCGGTTTTTCAAAATTCAAAAATCGTGGGAGAATTCAGAATAACTTGAAATCGAGGCAAACTAACTAACCACGGTTAAAACAAAATCGGTTGATTGATTGAATATTTAACTGTGGTTAGTATTAACTTGGGTTAGAGACACAGAGTGCTTCTTCTTCTTCTTCGTCTCTGACAACAACTTCTATAAATAAACGAGACTTGCTTCAGATTTGCTTTTCACGAGAAAAAGAGAGCATCGCGTCTTAATAAACGCTGCTTCAATTTTCGAAGTTTTCTCTCGCCATTCCTCAGATTTTCTCGCCGCGAAAAGAAAATGAGAGAGTGTATCTCGATCCACATTGGCCAAGCCGGAATCCAAGTCGGAAATGCTTGTTGGGAGCTTTACTGCCTCGAGCATGGCATTCAGGTATATCTTAATCCGCCTCTCATTTCTTCCCCATTCTTCGTAGATCCAGAGGTTTCGTCTTCCGGATTCTAGATAATATGCTAAATTTTCTCCAGATCTGATTTCTTTCGTTTCCATAGTTAGATCTCTGTAATTTCGTAGCTAATTAGTACCGTGTTGGTGTGATTTTGGCTTCTTTATCTCGTAATTATACTTTTTTGGATCGGAGACAAGTAGTTCCAGAGAAAAAGCCACTAAATTATCTGATTAGACTTGGGAGATTTTACTAATGAATGTTAGATCTCGAGAAATTGTTGATCATTTTGATCCTAAAATGTTTTTTTCGGTTTGTTGTTGTTGTTGATGAAGCCTGATGGTCAAATGCCGAGTGACAAAACTGTTGGAGGAGGTGATGATGCCTTCAACACATTCTTCAGCGAGACTGGTGCTGGGAAACACGTTCCTCGTGCGGTGTTTGTCGATTTGGAACCAACCGTGATCGATGAAGTCAGGACCGGTACTTATCGCCAGCTCTTCCATCCAGAGCAACTCATCAGCGGCAAAGAAGATGCTGCAAACAACTTTGCCCGTGGCCATTACACCAGTGAGTGACTCAATAACTCTCTTTTAAAGATTCACTCAACAAAAACGTCCATGCTTATGTTTGATTGTTAATTTCTTGCTCAGTTGGGAAAGAGATTGTGGATCTTTGCTTGGACCGAATCCGGAAGCTAGCTGATAACTGCACTGGTCTACAAGGCTTCCTTGTGTTCAATGCTGTTGGTGGTGGTACTGGTTCAGGTCTTGGGTCTCTCTTACTCGAGCGTCTCTCTGTTGACTATGGAAAAAAATCCAAGCTTGGATTCACAGTGTACCCATCACCTCAGGTTTCGACTTCTGTCGTTGAGCCTTACAACAGTGTTCTCTCGACTCACTCTCTCCTTGAACACACTGATGTATCTGTGTTGCTCGACAATGAAGCCATTTATGATATCTGTAGACGTTCCCTCGACATTGAGCGTCCTACTTACACCAACCTGAACCGTTTAGTCTCTCAGGTTATCTCATCTCTCACTACTTCCCTGAGATTTGATGGTGCCTTGAACGTGGATGTAACTGAGTTCCAAACCAACTTAGTCCCATACCCAAGAATCCACTTCATGCTCTCGTCCTACGCTCCTGTCATCTCAGCAGAGAAAGCCTACCATGAGCAGCTTTCAGTTGCGGAGATCACAAACACAGCGTTCGAGCCTTCCTCTATGATGGCTAAGTGTGACCCGCGCCACGGAAAATACATGGCTTGTTGTTTGATGTACAGAGGAGATGTTGTTCCAAAGGATGTCAACGCTGCGGTTGCAACCATTAAGACCAAACGAACCATCCAGTTTGTGGATTGGTGTCCGACAGGGTTTAAGTGTGGAATCAATTACCAGCCACCTACTGTTGTCCCTGGTGGTGATCTTGCCAAAGTCCAGAGAGCTGTGTGTATGATCTCAAACTCGACGAGCGTCGCTGAGGTTTTCTCGAGGATTGATCATAAGTTTGATCTGATGTACGCGAAGAGAGCCTTTGTTCATTGGTATGTTGGTGAAGGTATGGAGGAAGGTGAGTTCTCTGAGGCTCGTGAGGATCTTGCAGCACTTGAGAAGGATTATGAAGAGGTTGGTGCAGAAGGTGATGAAGGTGATGATGATGACGAAGGAGAAGAGTATTAAATGGATTACTTTCTTAGCTCTCTGTTTCTCTCTTTTGTCGAACTGATTCAATATTTGAAGCTTTCTCTTGTGTGTGTTTGTGGTTTCCATTGTTCCTCTGCTTTTGACTTCCTTTGTTGGTATGAATTATGAAATGTGGCTTTGCCTTGTGTTTGCGTTTGTGACTATGCTTATACTAATCGTTTTTCTCTATTTGATGACGTGAGACTTAAGGCTCTAACAACACTTGATCGATTTTTGTGTTTTGATTCGGGACTCAATATATCAAGACGACACCAAATGACATTAACGTATACACACAAGTTTATAATAAATAAATATGAAAGTCCACATGCTTTGGTTGATATCCATAAATTTCAATGAACGTTCACAAAAGTTGGTCTAGTTTTAAAAAACAAGACACCTATGTAATGTTTTCACAGTTTAAACTTTTTTACTACGATAATTTATTTTGGTTGTGCCAACTTTCTTTAAATGTTTTCTGGACCTATCTACATATTCAAAAAAAAAAAAAAAACAATGTTGTTAATCCCATTGTTTTATTCACATGAACAGATGGGTATTCACAAAAGTTTTATGGATTTGTCACATCATTTCACCTTAAAAATAAGAGTATGAAACCATCCTTTCTGTAAGACCCATACCCGAATTGTTAACTTAACCCGAAGACAAACTCAGACACTACAAATTCTCTTTCGAGGTTATACTGTAAGATTTGTCGTTTGTCCAGTTACTAATTTGAACGAGAATATTCTCAAGACATCAAATCGGTATTTCAAGATACGGACAGGTTCAAACAATTATTGTCCTACACAAGATCTCATCAAATATACATGTTTTACGTTCTATCTGATAAATCAAGGACTTTAATTATGTGTGTAATGTAAGCATATCCCCATTTCTGCTACAAAAGCGATATCACGTATAAACATAAGACAAAACCAGCCCTTGAGACTCAAAGTCGACACATTCTGTCTTCAACGACAAATATTTTGGATACCAAAAGCTAAACAGATCGAATCTCTCAAGATAAAATAAACAAATAAAATCCCAAAAGGAAGATTAACTTTTTATCATTTGTCTTGAAATCCTACCTAATCAGTATTTTGAAACTCAAAAAGGTTTTTGGCTCAGATAAACTTCCATTGATTAACTTGCACTATTACAACTATGAGAATAAGCTATTAAGATTATCGTCTTTAATCTATATTATGTATCTTAGCTTTAAATATCATGGGTTGTTTATAGTTTTAAAGGGGTACTGTAGTTAGATAGTAAAATTAATGTATTGATTTGGAGCAAGATTTTCAAAATTTTCAAGTCTTTTGAAGTGATCATTTGCCATAACCATTTGCCATAATCCTTACATTTCTTCTAAATATGTGACTTTTGGTAATTCCAAATTAGAAACAGTTACATCTGTATAACATTTTATCCCCAATAAATTTGGTTCAAGTTTGTAAACCCATCTATCTACCCATTTTTGTGGTTGTTGAAAAAACATTGTGATTTTTTAGTTTTGTAAAAGTTAAAAGATTTTTAATAATTTAATTGAGCTCACTAGCTAATATTTGCTGTAAGATCTAGAGGTAGATATTATTACCTTTGGTAAATATATTATTTAACACGATTCAGTTTCCCTCTAATGCACTTTTGCTGTATATAGAAAAATCACAATGGTTCCAATTTACATAACTTTCTATAATCATTCATACAATTAATATGTTTAAGAAATTAGATTTGATTCTCTCCCTTATAAATAATTATCTCTTGACTACTTTCAGCTAATCCTATCTAGAATACAAAGATGAATCATCGTCTTCACGGAATAATTAGCCCACTTTCACACATAACCACAGATCCTATTCGATCCTCCGTTAAGCCTCCGTCGCCGGTTTACTGCATAACCACAATTAACCATTTGAAATCTCTAACCGGTCTCGATGTTTCACCTGGACTCACCAGTCAAGAGATCTCAGCCGTTGAATCTTCCATTGGTTTCTCCTTCCCTCTTGATCTCCGTTCGATTCTCCAAACGGGTCTTCCGGTGGGTACCCATTTCCCCAATTGGCGATCCGGGTCGACCCGGAATAATCTCCTTCTCTTATTCAATCTCCCTCTCCTCCATATATCGAAGATCGTCGTCAGAAACGGATTCTGGGTCGATTCATGGGGAACCCGAACCGGATCCGACGCGGAGGCTTTATCGCTCGTCAGGAAATTGATGGAAATTGCTCCGGTTCTCGTTCCCGTCTACGGCGATTTCTACGTCCCTTCGACGACGCCGAATTTGGCGGGAAATCCTGTGTTTAAAATCGACGGCGACGGAGTTAGGATTTTGAGCTGCGACGTCGCTGGGTTTCTCCAGGGACTCAATCGAAAGGGCGATCGTCGAGATTCCGGTGATTCGCGACGGCGTAAAATTGAGTTCTGGACTGACGTGGCGGAGCGAGGGAGGACGATGATGGTGGCACGTCATCCCACGCGCGGTTGGTGGAGCGCGTTAGGTTGTGATAGGTTAAGGGCGTGTTTGGACGATGCGTTTTGGAAGCTGAGAGAAGCTGGATGGAAGGAAGACGAGGTTCGCGATATGATGATGATGGACGGTGTAGATCGAGACACGTGTACGCAAACGTTTTCTTCGCGTGACGTGGTGGACGCGTTTGGCGGTCATGGGATGGACGATGTAGATCGAGACACGTGTACGGAGGAAGGAGATAGTCAAAAACGCGTAGAAGTAACGACGTTGAGGCATTTACTGTTATCTCATGAGGCATGAGTTTCACTGACCGTTGGAATGGATCACCTAAAATTGATCGGTTGAGATACTATAGTTATGTAAATTGCTAATGTCTATGTTTTAGATGAACATATTACAGTAATAGATTTTTTTTAAAGTGGATTATAAGATATTGGTCTGAGTTTGATTTCGTAATTGGTTATTTGCCATGTAAATGTCTGATATCTTTAGTTTTGTTAGCAATTTAATCCGTATTTTTTATGAAACTCGGAAGATTAATACACTAACACATTTGTCGAGGCACATCATGTGGTTTTGCTTGGTTTTGGGTAATCACGTTTCGGTTCGGTTCAATTACTTAGTTTGATTTTGCTTATATAACAAATCAGTGAGAAAGTAAAGTCTTAATGTAACAAAATACAGTCGACATGGTTACACTTGATCAACTTTATATTGTTTTTGAGCAAAAGCCACAAAGAATTTCAAACTCTCAAGACGTGACAGTCGGTCTACCCCTAAGAATTGGCTCAACATGGTTTCCTAAATTCGATATATAACAAAACTTTGTCTACCCCCAAAAATATTGTCTTTCTTCTTTTTCTTTTCTAGGAAGAAAAGTTCCGCACAGATATTTTGAAACATCAATGTTTCCTTTCACAAAAAGCCTCTAACATGGAAAAAGCTGCTTCCATGGAATAAGACTATGTGAAAGAAAACACTGTTGTTTTAAATATTCGATACGACTATTAGGGAAATAACAAATTGAAGACTTTTTGAGTGGCAATTAAGAACTTTGAAGGTGAAGAAGATTTAGAAAGAAGAGAAAAATGAGCGGAGATGGATCAAGAAATAAACTAGCATGCGGCTAGGGCTGATGTAGCCAAGTTAAGAATGTCGAGTATATATATAGGACTACATCGTCTCCAGGCCCGGCCCATACTATTTTTAAACCTAAAGCAAAAAAACACATATAAGCCCATTTACAAATATCGTTCTTTTAAATATGATTAGAAACGCATCTCCAAGTCGACATTCGAACATTGTACCTATATGCCAAAAACGTGGTCTTAAGTCTTAACCACTACTCTGTTAAGGTCCCAATCAAAGCTTTTGAAAATAAGAACACAAGATCTTTTTTAATAGGTAGTTGAGACTACCTTTATTTTTGTTTTTTTTCATTGATTTATATAGAAGCAAGGTACAAGAAGCAAACAACAATCGGAATCAACGTGATTCCTATAATGCAGGGAAAATGGGGGAAAGTGGCGAACTTGGTTCCTCACGACAATGAGACCAGTTCTCATTATTTGCAGAAATTAAAATAAATGCATAAACATATATTTATCTTCTTGGGCTTACGTTCCCTTGAAGAGCATCATCTCCTTGCCAACTGTCGTAGGCCCATCATTTAGCCCACCAATACTTTGAGGCTCATCATACTCCTGAAGTTTCAAGGATTTGATTCTAAGACAAAACCGAGAAAGAAAAATAATTTGTGTTCGGTACAAAAAATAACTATGCTTTTGGGAATTACAGCCCATAGGATGTAAAAGAAAGATTACAACAAATTACATGACACAAAATTCAATTTTCGTAAACTCTCTACTAAAACAACATCAACGAGACAATTTGATCAACCAGAGGAGTTTTTTTTTTTACTCTGCTGAAACGCTCTCATTGTTTCCTCCATTACCAGAATCCGGCAAAGTTTCAAGATCAGTGCGAACATCTTTTACGTCTTGAGGAAGATTATTGTCCGAAGAAGATTCAGAATGCTCTTGATCGTTCTGAGTCACCTCTGTCTCACCATTCTTGCTGCTTTCCTCTTTCTCTGTCTCTGTTTGTGAAGTTTCTGAAGTATCCTCTGATTGCTTTTGTTCAATATCAGTAACGTCATTTTCTTTGGTAGATCCATTTGTGTCATCGTCAGTCTTCTTCTCGTTTTGTTCAACCTGTTCCTTCTTCTCACTTTCATTTCCCTGTGAATCGTTGGACGAAGACTCTTCTTTCTCCTTTGTCTCGGTTTCTTTGTCTCTACTTTCCTCTTGCGACGAAGACTCTTCTTTCTCCTTTGTCTCGGTTTCTTTGTGTTTACTTTCCTCCTGGGACAAAGACTCTTCTTTCTCCTTTGTCTCGGTTCCCTTGTCTTTAGTTTCCTCTTGCGATGAAGACTCTTCTTTCTCCTTTGTCTCGGTTTCTTTGTCTTTACTTTCCTCTTGGGACGAAGACTCTCCTTCTTTCTCAATTTTCTCGGTGTCTTTGTCTTCGTTCTTCTCTTGGGACGAAGACTCTTCTTCTTTCTCAAGTTTTTCTGTTTCCTTGACTTCCTTTTCCTCTTTGGACGAAGACTCTTCTTTCTCAATTTTCTCAGTTTCTTTCTCTTTTCTTTCCTCTTGGGAAGAAGATTCTTCTTTATCCTTTGTCTCAGTTTCTTTCTCTTTATTTTCCTCTTGGGAAGAAGATTCTTCTTTATCCTTTGTCTCAGTTTCTTTCTCTTTATTTTCCTCTTGGGAAGAAGACTCTTCTTTCTCCTTTTCCTCAGATTCTTTGTCTTTAGTTTCCTCTTGAGAAGAAGACTCTTCTTTCTCCTTTTCCTCAGATTCTTTGTCTTTACTTTCCTCTTGTGACGAAGCCTCTTCTTTCTCAACTTTCTCGGTTCCTTTGTCTTCGCTTTTCTCTTGCGAAGAAGACTCTTCTTTCTCCTCTATGCTATCTGTCTTTTGACTAGACTCTGACTCATCCTTCCCAGTAGTCTCTGTTGCATTAGATGATGACTTGTTCGATTCAGGCAAGTCACCATTAGAATCATTAAACCCCTCCTTCTCCACCATCTCATTCTTCTCCATAGATTCACCCTCAGATTTTATTTCACTCGATGAATCAGAACCAGAGTTCTCGTCACTGCTGCTTTCCCCATTATCAGTCGTGTTCGTCGACAAAACACTCTTGATAACAGAATCTCCCTCTTCGGTCTCATGGACTACCTCACTAGAAGCATCATCTCCTTTGTAATTGTTCTCTCTTGCTTCTTCACTACTATTCGTCTTCTCCTCTGTACCACTCTTCTCTTTACTCTCCTCGCTCTCTTCGCTACTGCCATTTTCTTTCTTCTCTTCAACCTCTCTCTCTTCCACCACACTCTTCTCTTTACTCTCCTCGTTCTCCTCTGCAACGCCATTGTCTTTCTTCTCCTCAACCTCACTCTCACTCTCTTCCGTGCTACCTCCATCTTCTTTCTTCTCTTCAACCTCGCTCTCTTCCGTACTACCACCATCGTCTTTCTTCTCCTCAATGTTTGGATCTTCGTTTTCCTTCTCCTTGTTCTCTTCACCTCCCTCTAGAATCTCATCATTCCTTGTCTCATTCTCCTGATCAACCTTATCAATAACAGGATCAAAACTCTCCACATTCCTCTTTCCTTCATCCTCAGCTTCTTCTTCCTCCAAGCGTGGATTAATATCTTTCCTCCCGAGTCTCATCACTTTCTCTCCAACAATCTTTTTTGCAGATTCCTCAAACTGAGATTTCTTCTCATGAGAATGCTTCACTTGATAAAGCAACCATATCCCAACACCAAGTAACAGAGTCAATTGTATACAATGCTTCACCTTGAAGCCTTTTGATCTCTGTCCTCTTCGAGGTGAAGATTTAAACATCTTTCACTCTAAATCAAACCAAACCCTATTCCACAAAAAAATCAACAAAACCCAAATCTCAGATCTCCACAAAGTTTCATCCTTTCAACAAGATACAATAGATTCCTATAAATTCAAACCAAAACTCGATCTCGATTCGGATCTAAGTAAATGCTTAATGATTGGAGCAAATCTAAGAAATGACCCGAATTGAATCAATACCGTTATACTAAATATATGAAACAAATCTATATTATTAAAAAGGGAAACTTTACCAGGAAAGGCAGATCAAGAGAGAAGCTTTGAATGTGAATTTTCTTTTTCTCCGGGAATAAACAGAAAGATGAACAATTTTTGAAAACAAAGAAAGGTTTTTGATTTCTGGGATCTGGAGAGAAAGAGAGAGTAGTGTCCCTGTTAGATTGCCACTAAAATCGTGCGTCCCTTCAATTTGCAGAGAAGGAAAAAATATATATTTTTGTATATTTATTAGAGCGAAAATCTGGCAGCTTCACACTTGAAAAAGTAGGAGGCCATGTGAATCTGACTCGACGCCGTCGTTTTTGCTGCTTCTTTAATAGACACCGACAATTTCTAACGACGTCGTATCTTGTCTGAGGCTGAGATTGTGGGCCCATAAACAGAATTAAGTTGATTATGGGCTTACGTAATCTGTTTGAGCTTGTTGGCCCATTGGGTCTTAAATAAATGAACCGTGAGTCACACAGCTTAGATAAAGACCAAACGGGTTCATTTTTATTAATATAACCTAAATTGTAATTGTATCAACGGTTCATTATTTGAGAGAGAAAATTTATCATCAGTCTAATTTTATCATAACAAATTTAGAAAACTTTAAATAATTTTGCGGTATAATTTCTCATGTCACACCAATAAAGTAAAATTTATTCGGAGATTGCTACAGTAGCTTAGAACATACCTAAATAGCCACCCCAATTAAAGATTTTTTCAATGATAGAATTCAATTATAAAAAATAATGAGTCGAAATCATATTCGGTCATTCCAATTATATTTCCTAAAAAAATCCGGAAAATAGACAATTTAATTTAAATTATGCTCCCATGCTTGCAGCTTGTAAACCAGAGTCACCAATGACTCACCTATATAAACGATTCATTCAAATTTTTAAATAAAAGCTAAAGTGTATTTATTGTAAGTATATATATTGGTCAGATTGCACGTATAAAGCAGGTGACATGAATTGATATTAAATTCCATGTGTTTTCAATATAATACACGACTAATACAAGTTGCTAACATATATAAAAGATGTTTGTTAGGCATGCCGTGGTCTTATACCCAAATCTGAGCTTGGTGAATAAAAAATGATTAAAATATAAGTAGTATTTTGTTGATGAAAAAGTTTAAAACAAGAAGTCGACAAACCGACAATTTAACCAGCAAATGACACATGTCTTATGCTGTTCTTAATTAGCTAATTACGTGCGTGCACACGTAAACGAAACTATCAATCATTAACAAGGACCCCCGCAAATAATTTAAATAAATGCAATCCTAAGGACCTAATCATAATACTTAGGTCCATAAATCGGATATTCGAATGGATGATGGACTATCACCCACACTCGATCCTAATGTTTTAGGTTCTTGAATTAAGGTATATGTAAAGATGAATTCCATATAACCTTATTAGACCCAAGTGAATTTCATAACTAGAAATCGAAAGAAAATATCAAAGCAAATTTTGAAAAGGAAAAAGAAACAAAGAACATGAAAAATAGAATATATATATATAAAAAAAACTATAATAGCAAATCATATGATTTAACCTAATCACACGCTTCTAAACTCGGAGTGAAGCTTCCGCGCGTGCCTCATAATCTGACAACAAATCGAGCCATTATGGAGAATTGATATCATTGACTAAACTCCCCAATGATGTATTGCTCATGAGAAGCAATGATAAGGACGAGGTGTTGTTTCCAAATGATTAGAACATGTTTGGAAGCAGGTATTTCATCTAGTCTTGGACATGCAAAAGATTATCATTTCTTGCGATGTGCTCGATGTTTCGAATCGATAATTGCTACATTAATTTCCAAAATTCTCTTTATACTAATTAAGTTAGTTATTCTTTTTTTATAAATCTTGAATCATTCTTAAATTTGGTTTTTCAATTTTTATAAACATCTGACGAGCTGTGTAATTCGACCATTTCTCATACTAAACTGAGGATGATGGAATGCTCAATACTTTGATCAGTCACTTGACTGAAAGTCTGAAACACTACACCAAAATTCTCACACTTATACACCATTATGTTTGTTGGGATCTAACTCACTTGAATAGTTGAATTACCCTATTGTTTCCAATGTTTTCATTATATAGATATATACGTAAGGAACTGTATTAATTTTTTGAGTTTTAAAGAAACATAAGTAATCGTTGAATAAATTAAACCTTAACCACTATTTGTGAATTGTGAGACTGATTAATACTCACGAGAGATATACTTCACTGGAAATTGGTTAAAAAAATTTCGACAAATTTTTATGGTATTTTTAATTTTTTATTTATTTAATTGTCTGTCAGAAATTTCTAAAAAACTACAAAGATGTTTATTTTGTATTATTATCTACTATTTTTTTTTTTAAAAAATAATAGTTATTAAAAAAATTCTTTGAAATTTTCCCCAGTTTTTTCTTAAAATATATATGTGAGGATTGGGATCGAGTAACATGATTCCGCATATAGATATCTCATTATCAAGCGCTAGGACCGACTATAGAGTTTCATGTGAGATTGAAAGATTCATCAATAAATCATGTATATAATAAATATGAGTACTATTTGAAAAGGTTATAATTCAATATCTTCATAAAATGGTACGTGAGAAAATTTCGAAGAGAAAATCACGTGAAGCATGCCCCACCTTACCCCCATTAAGATAGAGCAGCATCTCACGACTTCACGGTACTTCCCTTCCAAATTCAATGCTCGTTTTTCCATTTGCTTTCTTCTTAACTTTTTTTTTAATGAAAAGAAATTGTTATATTTGTATATCATGGTTATTTTTAAATGATTACAAAAATATGACTTCTTGGCAAAAGTTTTTTTTGTAAATCATTAATTCTTTTGTCACTAGCTTTTTGTTGTCTACTTCTCACGCATCATGTGTGACACATGCACACTTCAAAATTTGAACTGAAGTTATAATACGGATAGAAAGAGAGTACAAAATTGAAAATTACAAATCATTTGATTATATAATCATTGATACTTTGTTACTAGCTTTCTCTCCAACATGATGATGTTGTTTTATCAGCATCACGCATTTCGTTTGCTATAATACTTGGCTAACTGTAAGATGAGGTTTCTAAACAAATTTTGTTTTCTCGCATATATATATATATATTCAGAAACAACTTAGCCAACGCATAAAATCTAAGAATCATTACAAGTTTTTCTGTTTATATTTTTAAGGATTTTTTATATATCTTTGTCGACGGAAAGTTAACATCAATGACTACAATATTGCTCATATTATTTCTATTATGGGAACTTTGTTAGAAAGGCTTTAACAAAAAAAAAAAAACTTTTATAGAAAGGTATTGAGTACCCGCAATAAAAGAATTAGAAATTTGTAGTATATTATTCATTTATTCTTATTGTTTGTGTAATTCATGTATTCACATTTTAAATATTTTATTAATTGTACAATTAATTTAAAATGTTGCATCAATACACGTGAGCTAACCTCCGATCCCCACACCCTTTATCGCTCTAGCTTGAAACCCTTCACACCCATCAAATGATTTCCTTGTTTATTGAATATTTCTCTTTGGATAATCCATAAATCAAATATTTTTCGAGTAAAGAATCACATCAATTAATGCATTTTAATCTGATTCCACAACTCAGTTTTGGATTTTGCTCAAAAGGGAAAAGTTTGGGCCTACTGAAATTATATACCCTTTTCAAAGTTGTGGATTTCCCATCAGTTTAGTATTTATATACAACTTTTATTGATAGGTGGGAAAAAGATAATTTCCATCAATTTTCCATTCCATTTTTGGATTCAAGAGTTGAAAAACAAGCCAAGTTGATATCAATGCCTTGTTTAGATGAATGATGAATGGACCCTTCGCTAATTTGTAAGATTTGTTTTGTTGTGATGGAGTCTAAGCAGATAGTTTCACATGATCTAATATGTGATTTTTTCTTATTGTAGAAATAATCCAATGAAGATTGTACAGACTTGAACGGTCATACAATATAATAGGAAAGATCGAAAGAAAATTGTGTACTAGTTGTTTAATGTGATGTAAAATACGACCTACCATTAGATAGATGTCGTAATTTCGTGTATAAAGTCTTAAGTTTGATTTAAAATCTGATATATATGTTATAGATTCCTTTAAAAAATAATTTGTGGTCAATATATATATAAAATTCTAATTCATAGAAGAAAGTAATTTTTGGGTGGTTATTTTTATGAAAACAAAATCTCATGTATATGTATACTTTGTTTCAAAAATATGATTACTTTACTAGTAACTCTGTTTTATAATGCTTTATTGTTTCAGACTTTCCAATCTTTGTAATTATATTTTCTTTTGTTAATTAATCAGTTTTACATTTTAAGGAGAGAAAAAGGTGAGAACATAAGATGGATTAATTTAGAGTGAATACTATTACCTTTTTTCTACAAATAAAATAATAATTACAAACTATTCTTTTTCCCAAACCAACAATCCCACTGAAAAACAAAGTGGGAATTGTAGAAGAGACAATCTATACCCATCTTACCCTTTCTAACATATTTCTTGTGTTCTTCGTACTAAATAAAATGCCATCAAAAAAAAAAATAAAATAAAATATATTAAAAAAAAAAAAACTGAATACTACTATTCAACAAGCTGCAGAGGGATTGGTAAAAGAGTTGAAGAAGTGAGGCTTTGAGGAGACGGAGAAAGCTCCCTTAGCCGTACTTCCATCGACGACCACCGTGGTGGCCACGCTGCCTCCGCCTCCGGCACCTCCTCCTCCGTTACCGCCGCCGCTGCTGCCGCCGATTCTTTCACATGAAGGACACATCGTGAGAGTCGATGCAGGCATGTGCATGTAAAAGGGATGATGAGACAATTTTAGGGTTTTGAGCTCTTGAATCTCTTTCTGAAGTCTTATGTTCTCATCTGTTAATGTTTCACAACATTTCTTCAAAAACTCGCAATCTACTTCTGTTTGCTTCAGCTTTGTCCTGTTCAAATTTCATTAAATAAAGAAAAGTATTCAATAAAAAGGAAATAATATTCCCAAGATTTTCTTGGAAACTAATAGAATAAAATCCCTTAGTAAAAATTACCTGGCTCTTCTATTTTGAAACCATACTTCAACTTGTCTAGGCCTAAGATTCAGCTGTCTAGCCAGAACTTGTTTTTGCTTCTGTAAATGAAAACAAAAATGAATCCGATTAGATAATGATTATCAAGAGTGATAAGTAATCTATTAAAAGGATAAGGATTAATGATAATTACGGGATTAAGGGTGCTATGGTGCTTGAAGCTTTCCTCAAGAAGAGCAGATTGCTCTTTGGTAAGCCTAAGTTTTTTTCTAGCACTAACACCTTCTTCATCTTCATGATAATCACTTATAACTCTCTCCGTCGTCTCCTCCTCCTCCGGTGACTCTTCGCCGCCGTCTCTTTCTCTTTTCACCACTCTTCCGGTTGAGAAAGAAGAGACTCCGCTGTGAGATGACGTCTGACGGCAGAGCTGGTCAGCTCCGGCGACCACCGTCACTGAGGGATCGCCAGAGAGGCTTAGAGTCAACGACGGCTCGAGCTTGAAACCGGAGGATGATCTTTTGATGGCATTATTGTAATTATTAGGAGTTGGTGAGAGACCTAATCCAAGAACGAGACCTGTGTTGCATGAATCATCGAAACCCATCTCAGTAAAAGTGATTAACAGATCTTGAGGATTTTTCTAGTTTATCGATCTTTGATTTTTCGAGAGGTGAGACTTGAGGAGAAATTATTTTTTGGTGAAGTTAAGAAGATAATGGGAGGAGATGAAGCCAAGAGGCTTCTTAAGAAGGAGAAGAGAAGTATTTTTTATTTTTTATTATTATTTTTAGAATTTTGATGGGTGGGTTGATGGCTAATAATTATTAATCAAAAGGAATGATGTAGTTATTGTAGTTTTTGGAGAAAAAAAATATGTATTTATTTTAGTTTATTTATGAAAGGAGTGAACTTTATTTCTTGGTAATCCATTTTTTTATCTGAAAAGAATATTGTGGGAAATTATGATGGCACAATTCTCTCTCCGTTTATTTTTCTCACTTGCAAAGGTTGACCAAATGAGCATCCCACTTGGCACTTGCTACTATTCTTCCCACTCAGAGAAAAGTTCCCGAAAAGTTAAATGATTTTATATTTGGTAGAGTTATATATAAAATATTGTAGTTTTTATTTTGTGCGATTATATGAATATAAATAAATATAATATTATAGCTAACTAAAGCTTTTATTCATTATTTCTCTCGTATCACTAGCTCAGTGCCTCAGTCGGCATACTCTTCTCAATTTTATCATGAAGCGTTGTTCTAGACAACAAAAACAAAATTCCACCTATCATTACATGTCTTTTTTTTTTTTAACGTTGCTTCAAAATTTCCAGTTTGACTTTATATGATTTTCTTTTTCTATAAAATCCCATCAAACTAGTTTAAAGATACACAATGATAAAGCCATAAATTTTTTTCATTGGAGACAAATGAGGATATGTATGATTTTATGAATGGAGATATTAATATTAGGTTTTCATAAGTTATAACAATTTTTAAAAATTCATTGGAAATGAATGACCCCAACTTAATAAAATAAAAACTCTATAAATTAATAATATTGGAACTTTGATATTTTATTAATTTGTAGAATTATTAATTTATAATTTTTTTTTAAAAAAAAATATCTTTTATTTTTTATTAATTTTAAAAGAGATTTTTTTTATATAAATTATAGACTTTAAAACATTCTTTCTAAAATTAAAGATGAGATCAAAAAGTTTTTCATTTAAAATAATAAAAAAATTTACAAAATTCATATTTTAATAAAGTATCTTACTTATATGTTTATATTAGATTTTATTTATTATAATTATTAATTTATGATATTAAGGAGACCATATATTTACATAGGAATTTTGTTAAAATTATTATTTTATTATCTTATTGAATTGTGTCATAATTTGATACCAGCTCAATTCGAAACCATAAAAAATTATTAATTTATTAATTTATCGAATATTAATTTATAGAGTTTTTACTGTATACATGCCTCCGCAACTGACAACATAACATTTTTTGCTATATTTAATTACTTCTTTGACATCATATTTAATTATTTTTATGAAAAAACTGATTTTTTTTTTCTTTCAATTTTTTTATTTTTTACACATACATATTTCTTTTGTTATGTAACAATTCTAATCTCCTCCAAAGATGAGTTGATCTTTTCAAATATTTTAGTTCTCTAGTGTATGGTATATATTTTTTGATCCCCAAAATTATAACAGAATTCTCCGAGTTTTTTCAAGAAGAATTCAGAATTTTAAAAATGTAAAATAAATGTCATGGGAAACACCTATTAATGTATAGAAGAATATATAACTATTAATAGTAATTAGAAAGTGATTTAGAGGTACCTTTAAATAACGGACCACAAGTCAGTTTACCTACCAATCTTCAGCCTCTCTTTTTCTTATCACACAAACACATTGGCCCTTGATGTTCATTTCATTTATTTAATTAGAATATTATATAATTTAATTATTTTCTGATTTTATACATATGGATAGGGATCCCCCACCATCTTGTTTAGGTTTGGTTCTCTTGATCTCATTCACCAATTAATTTAGTACTTTTTTGAAAGAGTTAGGCATATAATTTATTTCCAAAAATATTTGAACTAGGTCATTTATCCCATACTAATTATTCAGTGGATCTTTAGTCTCAAACAAAATTTGAAAATTTTCAAAGTATTTCTCAATATTAATATTTCATATCACACACGATCTTCATAATAAAAGTAATAAAAATCGATGTAACAATTGTATCTTAAAACTAATGGAAATTATAGAATTTTGAGATAAAAACATGTATGGAATAAAAAAATATATTATAACTTGAGTAAAAAACCTCCTTAATTGGGGTAAAATAGATCAATCTGAAAGTAAATTTCTGAGTCTTACAACCTAATTACAAAAATTCTAATGAATTTAAAATACTTATTACATCACAAATTCAGATAGCTGAAGCTAAAAATGGCTAGCACATGTTCATCATAATCAAAATTTCTTTGGTCCGGTACTCAATTCCATTAAGTGGCTCAATATTATCCGAATTCAAATTTGACGTTTTTAATGCTTAAAAGATTTTCGACTAACCCCCGTTCATATTTTAGGTTTGGGATCAAAATATATCATATAATTTTGTGCCAATATTACTAATATGTTATATAATTTTTTCCTAAATAAACGATACTTGATTAAACCGTTCAAACCCGACTTTCTACAATATATGGTCCATATAGATGTCAAAGAAATGTGTATTCACCTTTAAAATCACTTTTCGTTTGGTTACCTGACGTAACATTAGAAGAAAAAAGAACATAAAAGTGGCTAGAAAGCTAGAAAGAATGATGTGTTGAAATATGATTCGTCAACGATAAAAAAAAATATATTTGTAGTGATTGACGAAGAAAGTTGATGTGTAACCTTTCATTGGGTTTGGTCTCAGCTTTGTTATTTGTTTTGGCACTTCCCAATAATGCCTTTGTCGGCTAGACTCGTCCAACCAAAGTTAGGTTATCCATCCTATACACAATATCATTATTGTACTCCCTATTCTTCTATCTAAAAATCTTATCACCTTTTGTATTGTTTCTTTAAACTATTTACTTAATTAAATTATATCTTTCCCCCTAATCCTGATAGTAGCCCATACACGAGGATTTATGGTTACGACTATAAGAAAAGATACACTTTATTGTATATCCTAATCTTCGGTTTGAAGATATATGAGTTCTGGTCTACAATCTTCTAGCCACTGAAATAAAAAATGTGATCAAGGTCTTCATTATTATTATACAAAAAAACTGGCATTTTAAACAGATTTTTGAACCGAAATTTAAACTATATATTTTTGAAGGAAAGCATAAATTGTTTTGTTAAGAAATTAGGTAAGCATGCTCTCTTAACAATATATCATTGTAGTACGACATCTGACTTCTTCTAGGTCGAAAAATTATTCATATGCTAGAATGATATATGGATAAACGTTTATGGATATTTTCAAAATGAATTGATAAGAAGTAAAAAGAACTGATTTTAACTAGAAATTTTTTAAAAATGTAGTATTCTGGAATTGATAAGATGTCTGTAAAAACATTTAACGTTACTTTTCTCATTTAGTTTTGTCAAATGTATTTTGTCCATCAAATATCAATTAGTATAATACTATAATTGTATTTGATAGTATGTAGCTATTCATAAAATATATATATATATATATATATATCATTAAAAAATAGTTTATACAATACTTATTTTATTCAGGAGTTTTCGCCAATAATCAAACTAATTTTTAAAACATATGTAACCGTTTTACGAATTTTGAAGTTAGAATTTGTTTCCAAAACTAGCATTTATTTGTATCTTATATGGCATTGTATGTTGAGAGCTTTTAAAATTGAACTGCCTACTTTTAATATAAACTGTATTAACTTTTGTATTTCATGATAAAAATTTTATGGGTAAAACATATTCTATTTACAACAAAACAATGTTCGTTTATAAGAAAAATAATTTTGGTATTTGATATAAAAGTCAATTTTGGTAAGTGTTTGCCGTTGCACCAAAAGAATTTTGAGAATTTATATAAACTATATGGATGATAGGAATTATTCCGGTAAAGAATAACTTCAATCATTTATGTGCGAATTGCAGGCATAAAATTTGACGGATCAAAAATGATTTGAAGTGCTTGTATGATTGCATAGAAATATTAAATAATTAACTTATATAGTACTAATATATGCTATTGTAGTACGTACATATTAAATTTGGTTTCTCATTAAGAAGAGTTGGTCCCTGACCGCCAGACCAGTCTCTTCAGCAGAAGGTATGGCAGACTCGTTTCCACGACATATACATCATTAAATATTTAAATTATATTTATTATATATTTTAGCTAATTAATTAAAACCCTATAGTTGAACCATGTGTGGAGTTTTGAAAAAGAAAAAACTAATAGGAGTTTTAAAACCCTATAGTTGAACCATATTTTAGCTAATTCATCTAATATTTTTAAATCAAGAGTAAGATGACCGAAATAGTAATTGGCTGAATCGAAATTTTAATGTAATGATTTAGGCAATCTTCCAAATAACCAAACGCCATCTTTTGTTCTTTTTTGTTTGTATTTTCAAGTTTATAGTAATATATCTTAACAATTATAATCTGATGAATAAATTATTTTGTATATTTTAGGAGACATACTAGATATTTGTCTTTTGATCATCTATATCCAGCAGGAGATTATATGGCTCTCGACGAATTAAGTTAGTTATATCTATTAATAGACAAATTAAATAGAAGTACGGAAATCAAAATCTTAAAAAGTATATGATGCTTCTTCAAAAACTCAGATTCACAATCTGAAAATAGATTAAAGTCAGAAATCTTAAACTCTTTTACGTATAATTCTTAATTGTAAAATCTAACCAACATGATATATTCCACTAAGTATAAAATATCTAACCTATTATGTAATATATGTTATTCAAAACTTCCATAACTACCTTTTTTTTACATTAAACTTCCCTAATTATTCTGAGACAAGAAATTTAAATTAATTTTAGGTTAAAAAGTTATTTTTACTGAATTTTAATAGCAAGTAATTAAATTAAAAAAATCGTTCTCATCCCACAATATTTATTAAGAGTTGATTACATTTTAAATCCCATTTTGAGATTT